ACATGAACTGGCATTTGTGTCTAGATAGCTGCCCACTGTTTTTTTGTTGCCCAAGGATGCTCGGAGTGGAGGTCCTCTTCCCGACATCGGCAAACTGGTGCGGCGTTGGTAAGTCGAATCGGTATTTCAGGTTTCAAATAGCATGGCCGCGACGCACCCAATATTGAGTTTGCCGTAAATTTCTATTCACTGTTTTCCTCTTACCAGAAACTAATTGAATCAAAATCTGAATTTGAACATGAATTTTCTCTTTCATGTCTGTACTCTACACATGGCCGTCCCATGTTTTTTCAACAGAAAACTTGCTTGCATGTGGGTGATATTTTTGTTCAGGTACTCGTCGCATGTTGCAGATGCGTTGCCAGATGGAACGGTCGTGGTTGCCACCAACCAGGCAAACGTCTCAGAAACCACTTTGCATCTGTATTTCAGTGCTTGAGGTGAAACCCTTGCAAGGTTTTGACAGTTCTAGCTGCTACGGTGCGGCAAGTTACTAGCATCTTGCCATTGCGCAGCCGGGCCCGACCCTCAAATTGAAGCATTCATGTCTGGAAAATCACGAATTTGCCATCCCCTGAAGCACTTTTGAACGAGAAACAAACTCTCAATGTCATTCAAACGTGAGCTCCCATGGTTTCTGCTTCAGTATATTGTGGTTGGAATTCCGCATCTCGCAGGTGACTGGTGTGGCCATTAGTGAGGACATCCTGGGAGCTTGCTGTGCAGGCCACGGCTCACGGCCGAAGCACGGCTGAGTGGGGTCGAAACCGGGTCATCGCCAGATCGGGTGGTGCACGCCTTTCGCCTCAAGTCCTTGGAGACCTTTGGGACTCACAAGGCCGACCTGCGCACAAATTGGAGTTTTTTTGAGCAGACTTTGCAACTTATGCAAAATTATTTTTCATGTGGCACCCTCAGCTTGATATTTGAGAAGTTCGATTGTAGTTTTCTTTGCTGTTTGAACTTTTGTTCTTAGGCATTCAGAGCACCGTGGGTCTAGTTTGACTGGAGGAGCATCATGCAGAACCATCAGCAATGGTGAATGTCAAGGGGCCGGGAACTCAACTTGCTGGAACAATTGGGGTTTGCGTGTTGTGCACATCCATCAACAGCGCAACATGTTCCTTTTAATTGTATATTTTATAAATCCATTTTCATATTGGAATGTACAGTCTCTTGGCTTTCAACCCCAGGCATGAATTTCATTGAATCCTTTCTCAATGGATTATCCCTGCTGTCAAGGCGCTAGTAACTGTAGCGTATTTGGGGCACTGTGTGTGCTTGCTACTTAGCTGCTACTTGCTCTGGGATCTCTGGGCCATTTCAGGTTGATCATCACTGGTGACAAACGTCAAGCTGCCACGATACCAAACTCGGTTGTGCCTGGCAGAGAACAGCAGTGCCAGGTGGTGCCCTCTGTTTGTGGACGCCCGGGGCAGCTACGAAGAGTGTTGAGAGGCAGGGCACCAGGGCACCAGGGCGCCAGATCACCAGTGACCAGCTGAACACTGCGGCTGCGGCTGCACTTGGTGGCCCAGGATGGTGCCACAAAAGGAGGCTGTGATCTCTTTAGCAGCGACCAACTCAGATCTTTCAGGTTCTTAAAATGGGGGACCAACAAGTTATCGTCCAAGGTATGATAGTCATTCTTAATATTTCTTAATGGGGAAGCCAATGTTCTTGAAGACCATGTTTTCAAGAAACACACCTTTGAGCAAGGCTCACAATTCGTAGTGGTTGTATGGGCTTAAATGGGGACTACTATGATCCAATATAGGAATCGCCACCGACCAGCCAGTTCATGTGATTTGTTTGTTTGCCTAGTTGCAGATTGTCAAGGCATCAGCTTGCAGCACGCGTCTGGCGGTGGGCTACCACTCCGGCACTGTTGCACTAGTGAGTCTGGAGGCATGAGTTCTGCACTGTCGACTTGTCAAGTGCTCTGCTTTGGCTTCAAATATCTTCAAATTGTTTGTCCATGATCATCATGATGGCACTTGGGAGAAAAATGCTGAGTGTCCGAACCACTGACCTCCATTGTCAGAGCCACCGGTTTTACTGCTTCCGCTTGCGAGCAGCAGTGCTACGGGCTCAGAGTGAATCGAACGCAACAAACTATAAGATGTTATCACAAACCGTTTATAGATTTGCTGTCACCAAAAACTGTCTTCACTTGGACAGCTCTGGTATGCTCTGGTAAGGCAGGCGCTTTCTTGGTTGCCCAGTAGCAATGGGCTGGTCACGGTTACCCACCCAGCCTGACAGCTGCACCTCACACATTTGGCTTTATGCGGACATAAGTGACGTCCTCCAGAACACTTTGAGGCCTGCCAAGATCAGTCAGTGCAACTCTGGAGGCGAAAGAACTGCAGTGCCGGATGAAATCATGACGACTGCAGAACTGCATGGCTTGTTTGTTTTTCTTGCTTTGAAAGGCTCCAATCTAATGCTGCAGAAGAGGACAGCTTCTTAAACATCTTGCACCATGATGACTCTGTCTGGTTCTCACAAGGCAGGTTGAACATAGCTTCATCATAGGCGCAGGTGTTGGCCTGTTCATGACTTTGCAAATAATTTTGATGCATAATTGACATCAGCAAAGAGCAAGACTGTGGGACCAGTCCAGTTGAACATTCTCTCCGTGTTTGATTCAATTCAATTCAATCTATAACTATAGATACTATAGGTATGAGCTGTACAAGCCCGCAATCTCATCACTTTCTATGTTTTTGATTTCTATTCAGGAAGCTATTGCGGAGTGCCAGATTGCACCAGTGCGCAGGGAGATTTGTCGGTAGACGTCAAGACGGGACAGAAATTGGACGCCACACGTCAGGTGGATTTGACTTCGGTACAATGTATGCAGCTGTCTGCGGAGTCTACGGCTGTTTCCAGCAACGGTTGTTGTACTTGTGAGTTTGTAGTAGTTTCTAGAGGTCTCTGCAGTCTCCAACTCGCTGCACCGGCGACTGGATGTTTTTGAGTAGGCTGCCGGGTCGCGGGATGAAAGTGTGGGCCCCAGTGGGTGCTGAAGGCTCAGTTAGTCGTAGAACTGAAAAAACACCTTTGTTTCAACGTGGATTCCACAATTTTACCATATTTTACCTGCATATTACCGTAATTTTACCTGCATTATCTCATCATCTTCCCCATTATATACATATAAATGGGGCTCGCCGGAGGGCTCGCCGCTATTCATCGGCCATTTCGGGGAATATCCGATAAGACACACCGATTTGAATCATATCGTCTCATCGTCGTCTTCAAACTGGTTTCAGAGTTTCCTCTGGATTCTCAAAGAATGTCTAGAAGTAGTAGCACACTCTCCAGTTTCACATAGCATCAAACATATCTTCAACATTTGAATCATGCTTCCTAAGATTTCCTAAGGCAAGAGCTGGACATCGGTCTGTGCCCTTTCTGATGCCCTGGTTCTCTTCAGCGGGCGCCTTCTGGCTCGCTTCCAAAAAATGTGGGTGTGGGTTTGGAGTTTGGAGTGTTCCTGAAGCCAGACTGGGACAGTTGTTGCCTTGCAAAGAAGACATAATAAGGGTAACTTTGCACATGATCACTCAAGACACCGGTGCTGCTTTGGGCACATTCAATGCCATTTTATGTCATATTTGCAGCTGCACATTATGAATGAATACATAAATAAATATATATATATATATTCATATATTGAAACAATGATGCTACCACGCGTCAAAATTCCATGGATTTCCCAAAACCTAGAATGATATATATACAAATATATGTCACTGTAGAATTTAAGGTTCAGTTATCAACCTGAGCCTCCGTCACCTTTGCTGCATTGAAGATCTGAAACTCTTTGCCAGGTCCCGCGGCGAGTTGTTCTGCTGGGAGGTCACGATGCCGTGATGCCATGCCGTTCCAAGCAGCCAACTTTTCTACACCTAGGGACCTAAGGGACCTAAGGGACCTAAGGGATTTAAGGGACCTAATACCATCTACCAGAAATCTGGAACCTGCCTTCATGCTGCTTCATGCTGCTTCATAGCCTTCATACCTGTCCACAAGTTACAGGAATCTCGACAGAAACCGAGTCGAGCAGCCAGTAGCTCAGGCCCATGGCACATGGCGTGAGAAGTGACTTCAATATCTTCAATGAGGCGCCTATTCACACAAGACCCATCTTTGGTATGAAGGCGGTGGGCAGTGACCACGTCTGGACCTGAGCGTTACTGGAATTGATTGGTTCCAGAAGCTTGCTCAGGCTTTTTGTATGATCCCCTTAAGTTCGATGGTTTACATTGACCAAATGGGTTGCTTGGGTTGGTAAGGGTGGGTTTCTAAAGGGTCTTCCGACCTGTGAGGTGCTAACTACTGGCATGGACCGCTTCATCGTCCTCTGGAGCAATGGGGGATTTGCTGCTTTAGTGCTAGTGCAACAATAACGTGTCTGTGTGTGTGTGTGTGCGCGGGGGATGCAGTTCTAGGAGTAATTGCTCGGCACGGATGCTCCGTTTGCCCAAAGCAGAGTTGCTTTTATTCTTGCAAGAGTGGCTGAAACAGTGTGATTTTTTTTACAGAATTCTTTGCTCACGATGGCAATGTTGTTCCGCATGCCTGAAAACAAAGTTTCAGGATGTTGCAGGGAAAATTGCTCCGAGAATTCCATGTGAAAACTTATCCTTGCATCGAGTCTCTGTGCGAACAGGGCGTGAGGGTGATTGCTCCCACTGCGGCTGAAGATAATCCCCACATTTTAACGTCACGGGTCAGAACGTCCAGGAGTGTGGCATCGGGCTCCCCGCCACAGATGTGTTCCTGCCTTGTTCATCAAATCAAGTTTGTCTTGTACATGTGCAAGCTGGTGGAAAGAAAGTCAATGAGCAGTGCTGGGCCACTGCGCTTGCGCGAGGGTAGATATGATGGAATCCCAGTTGTAAGGCAATCCAGATGCTAAGAGTCAGACAAGGGTTTGGCCAAATGGTGAGTTTCAACATCCTTTTGCTTGCGAAGGCAACATGCTTTTTGTTGAATTGTTCTAGATATTTCTTCAGGAGATTCACAACTCACCGAGAATAACTAGAAGATGTTTGACCATAGTAAGCTATATAGAATAATTAGAAGGTATATCGAAGCTATAGCAGTTTTGTTTTCCTCTGGAAACTCACCGCCAGGAAGTGGAGATTCTGCAGCCTGGGAGGTCACGTGACCGCCCTTCGCGTGGATGCCAACATTGCGTGCATAGGCAGAACGAAGTCGTCCATTTTAGGTGGTTCAGAGTTAGAAAGTCTTGGAAAAACTTTGGATAATAGTGATTATATGGAGATATAGTTGATATAGTGGGGATTGAACCATCAAAAATGGAAACATTCATAGTTGGTTTATAGTTTTGGAACATGTTTTGGTGCAGCGCGCAGGCTGTGGTGACAACAGCCTTCGCGTCATGGACTTGATGCACCGGGAGCACCGCCAAGCACTCAGCTGGTCCTTGTTGAGTGGGTTGCTACGGTATTTGGTAAAGCCAATATTGGACCTCAACATACCTCAACTATTGAGATGGTTTATCAACTTTATTATTGGGTTTAGCAAAAACCACATTACCTCAGCCCCGGATGGGGCTGTGCCACTGCACATGAGGTCAACACTGTTGGGTAGCATTGACCTCAGGATGACACACCCGGTTGCATGTGGTGCAGAAGCCATGCTGTTCTAAGGCCTGGAAAGGGCTTCGTACCGCTGTGACCAGCCTGGCTCCAGCTGGCACGGGAGTTTGGGGGTGTGGCAACTCAGGGGTCCCTGATGTCGGATTTCCATGGATTTCCAGAGAAGGCAAAAGTTCCAAGCATCATCTATCGTTATCAGTGTTGTTATAGGTTTGATGTGAGCTTAGAAGTCTTTCAATGAAAGAAGAAAGGCTTGAACAGGAATCTTTGAAAAAAAGTGCTCTAGTGCTTTGGCATTGTGGAGTGGATGACAATATCAATTGAGGTATGCCATACATGCCCATTATGTCATTCAGGTATGGTCTGCAGGATGGAAGCTTCGGCGTAGTGGCGGTGAATAGCTCTGAAGGACCTGGGCCAGCAGGGTACCTCAGAGATTTGAGAGATTTGACACGTTGCTGATGTGTTTTGCTCAATCTTCTCTTGTGCAACGTCCCATACATTAGTAGGCCCAGCTCTGCAATCACAAAGATGCCCCAAAATCCAACCACTTCACAGAGTTTGCAGAGCACTGGTTGATTGCAAAACTGAGATTATTGATTTGAATGTAGGCTGAGCCGCTTTGCAGCAGGACCGGAAAGATAGTGTTTATTTGAGCGACTGGGCCACGAATCCAATGGTTGCTCTATTGACATGCTTTATGTTTCAGCATTGTATGGCTGCGTATTTTTTTCGCAATGAGATCATGAGCACGGATTGCGCATCTGGATCAGAGTCAGGCGGCCAGCATTCGCTGATTATTTTGTTTTTACCACTTCCTCTTGCCTCCCTTGCTTTCTTGCGAATTCGATTTGTCGTCTGAAATTCTTAGCCAGATCTTGTTTTTGAAAATACATTCCTGACCTAAACATGTCCCTCTTCTGATCCAGTATCTTCTGCAAAATGTTGCGCAGAAACTAAAGGAGCCATCCTGCCCCGGTCACCAGTGTTTGTTGGCTTCGCTTCGTGCGAGCACCCAGTGGCAGCTTGGGCAGCTGGCGCGTGCCTAGCTTGGCGATAGGTTCAAGTTTCATGTCATACCTGGACACCATGATCTAGAAATTCTGAGCCACAAGCTTTGCAAGGTCTTGGATGTGCAAGCGGTTGAGAAATGGCCAACCATAGGTGCCAAATTAACAAAACCGTCCAGTTGGACCGGCGAAGCCAAAATGGAGAAATGGCCGAGGCGGACATGGCGGAAGCTGTGACAGCAGATGCCCCAAAAGCAGATGACGATCAAACCGAAGCACGAGGTTCGCTGCCTTTGTTGTATTGGGCGGATCACCGTTGATAAGCCGTTTCGATAGATAGTCATTTCGATTCGTTTCGATGTCCGAGTCCTTTTGGCCATAAGAGAATTGCTAATGATCCAAAGCTTTTTTTTCCCCAGAGAAATTCAATACCTTGGTAGTACTATTTCAAAGGACAGGACATATTCTGGAACAAACGGCGATACATGCATTGTTACAAACAGGATTTGGAGAAGCTGGCTGCCAAATAAGATGTTGTTGAAGCGGCTGAGCAGTTTTTCCAATCTCGAGGCTCCAAGAAAGGCAAGACCAAGAAGGTTGGCGGGGAAATGTTGTGAGTGTGGACAAGCACTGTGGGGCAAATACATACCAATGATTTCCAGATATTTCCAGATCCTAGCTGCCCCCATTTGGGCAACATTTGGATATGAGTTTGCCAAAATGTCTGAGGGTATGGGACTGCCCAAATTCAATCTGACGCCAGCTTTGTTTGCAGCCTCCCGTGCAGGAAGACAAGAAGGGGTCCAGTGATGATTGCAGGAACCTGATCCAAGGCGGATATCAGAGAGTGCATGGCACTGTTTCCATCTTTCAACCCATTCCTTGTGGGTGCAGTTCACAAAGTGGGTGCAGTTTTCCACAATTACAGGTGGGTTATATCGAGTTATATCCCAACTTACGGCGGTGAAGTCACCAATGATCACCATGGTCATCATTAGCTTCACGGCTGATGTGCTTCAGGCTTGGCGTTGATCTCATTGAGTGCCGGACACAAGGTCTTTGTCACGCCGGCCTGGAGCCACAGAGCAACCGCTAGAGCGAAAAAAATGGATCTTTTTTTTTTGGGGGGGAAAACATCAATTTTTTGAATACACTTTTAAGATCCTGAAAAAACCCTTGACTATCATTTTGGAGATGACTCTTGATGGTGTGACATGGCGGCTGTGAGCCACTGGAAGTTGCTTTGTGTGTTTTCCGGAACCATGCTCAGCTGCATTGATGATTGACTGGTGCAGAGACACCTGCGAATTGAGACAGTTTTATGGCGCACACACACAATCCATTTGACATTCGACCTGTGTCAGATCAAGTTTCACATCACATAAGGTCAAGGGCACAACCACAACTCTTCAGTTGCAGCCGCTCGCTGGAGCAGCTAAGATGCAACTAGATTCTTGAGCATTTCCACACGGTACCTCTACTTCAGGGTAGGAATCATGGTTTCCAAAGAAGTTTCCTTCAAAAAATCCCTGATTCCATCTTGTTCCTCTTGTTCCATTGACGATCTGAATAGATGATTTCTGTTTGTTGAGAAGAACTCACCCAACGAATGTTGTCAAGATGACCTCCAAGGTGGCAGCATCACCCCGTGCTGCTGTCGTTTGGCCACTTGGAAAGCCTTCCAAAGGCCTGGGCTTCCTCACCGCCATTCAGTTGAATAGCAGTGCTTTAAACATCTTTAAAGCATGATAAAACTTCTTGCAAAGTCATTGTGTCTTCAAAGAATTGTTTGAGACATCCTCGCTAGATCACAAGATATGTGAACTATCTTGATCCAATCTAGCTTGTGTGACCGCATGTCCACTGCGGCTTGGAAGCCTGATTGGAATCTGATTTTGACTTGAAGTTCTGGAGGAGGGAGGCGTGCATGTTGTGATGTGCCTGCAAGGCTTTGTTTGTTTCCGATACGCCGATACAGGTGAAGAGATACTGGTGGTTGCAGCCATGCACAAGGCCTCAATATGCTGTGAGCTATGGGGTGCACTCACATCACTTGGAGTGAACCTTGACTGAGAGCAGTTTCATTCATCAACTGATGGTGCAACGGCAAGAATGGAGTTCTTTCTTTTGCCTGCCAGGATTGTACCTAATGTTAACAATAGTGGATGACAATAATCACACTAATTATAAGAATGGGAAGTACGGATCAGCAAAATTTATGAATCATCATAACTTAGTTGATCAGTTGATCAGCTAACATATTGGTTGAATAATTCATGGGAAATTTTTGATGCTGATAACAGGCTCCACTGAAAATTGCAGGCCGGTGAGGCCACTGTGGAAAGCAACAGCTTCCAGCTCTTTCAGCTCGAAGGCGATGGATGATGGATCCCTGGAATCGGCAGAATGAGTACACTACTGTAACTACTGTAACTGTGCCAATGATTCCGCCAAGCCAATTTCTGAGTTTTGGATGGTATTTATTAATTTATATGGTATTTATTGGCCCTAAAGATGATCTTGGAATAATTTGGATCACTTACTGGAGAAGTGCGTTCTTAGTGTGGCTGTCACTGGGCGAGGCAGAGAGGAGCTCCGCTGCGTTGCTGTTGTACCGGCCTTCCGGATGCAAGACGTGGTGCAGTTGTCTGACAAACAACGAATAGATGCGAATAGCATAATATACATATTATATATATATATATACATACATAAATATGATAGCATCTAAAGTGGCAGCTCAAGTCTGGAATGGAAGTCTGACATGCCATCCAACTCGGAGAGTAAAATTTCATCAGTGAATGGATTCAGATCTCTTCATGCCGAGTCGATGGATTGAGGCTGATGGCCTTGATGGTGGTGCGCAGGCCATGTCTTTGCTCGGGCCCAAGTTGGGCCTTTGGGCCTAGCAGCTGAAGTCACGTCTCATTCACCATGCATCCCATGGGGCTGTCACGAGGTGCGAGACCTCGATGGGGGACAAAATGAGCTGCAGGCCATGGCTAGAAACCTTTCTCAAACATTGCATGTTTGTTTCCTTCGCATCTCTTTGATAATGAGTGTGAGCCAGTTCAGTATTTAGAACATTGAGATTGTTTGCAATTGATTGCCTAGCTGCCTTTGCAAGTTCAATTTATACCCTGCTGAAGGCTTCTATGCGGAACCAGCAAAGGAGGCCTGTTGACCTCTTCTCTTGGAGTACTTCTTGCTGTACAAATGGCCATCGTTCTGAAGCGAGAAAGTGAATCCAATGTGGATGTCCATCTTGATGGCATGCCGTGGAGGTGTATCAGTCTTTCAACTGCAGTGGCCACTGAGCGCAGCAGCACAGGCTTACTCGGGACCAGATCCAATGTCTGAATCAAATTCATTTGGTTGATTGATAAATAGGAGAAAAGTATGAACATGCTCACAAGTTGGCTATTGCATTGTGTGGAAGTTACATGTAGAAAACAAAGCATCGCAACGGGCATGGTTTGTCATTGTCAGGTTCCAGTAGCATGATCCTAAAAAGTAGAAAAGGCGAATAAAGGACCAATTCTGTGGAGTTTTTCCCCAACAGCGTGAGCTAATGGGGTCTTCAGCCCAGAATAGCTCCGGTGTGCACTGGTGCAGGCGCCGGGTCAGGTTCAACGAGGTTCCGGAGAAGGTTCCGAAGGTTCCGGAGAAGGTGTGGGAGGCTTTGGTGCAGAGCCAGGTCAAGTTCAACAGGGTTCCGGAGAAGGTTCCAGAGAGGCTTTGGTGCAGCGCCAGGTCAGGTTCAACAGGGTTCCGGACAAGGTTCCGGAGAAGGTTTCAGGAAGCCTTGGTGCAAAGCAGAGTCAGGTTCAACGGGGTCCGGAGAAGGTTGCAGAGCAGGTCCCGGAGAAGGTTTTGGGGATCTTTGGTGCAGGGCCAGGTCAGGACAGGGTTTCCAGCGCTTGGCTTCGCAGCACGCTTCAGAAAGATTTCTAAAAATAAAACGTTGCGGCTGTTGGGGATACCACCGAAGCTTATTTTGCAAGCATGGACATTTTGTATACTTGCTTGCCGATTACCTGCACGGGTCGAGAACACTGTGGATCCGTAAAGGCACAAATTTAATCAAATTTAGGTATATAGCTCTTGAGACTTGAATTCCACACCTACAAAAGCTTGAAGGCGATCTGCATGCACATGTTTTTTTCTTTTTTTCCCCCAAGCGTTTAAACTTGCCAGCAACGCGCTGCAAGCAGTAAAGTTCCAGGCCGTCCAAGCGGACAGCCCACCACCACCACTGCTTGCAGAGGTGCGTTTCAGTGTGGAACAGAGCTGCTTGATGATCAAGAATCAGATTCAGTATTTAGTCACTGGTAGATTCTGCTGCCTAGCTCTATCTTGTGAACGGATCAAAGATAGCATTGTGGCGGGACCTTGAATAGGTTCATACAGGGCATTGTTGACATTGTGAAGTGCTGTGGTCCAGGCTATGGTGCGCCAGTGCCACAGCAAGGTGTGTTCAGACACATTCCGAAAGAGCAAACTAATAAGTTCAAATTACTTCAAAACTAAAGCATTCAAAAGCTGATACTATCCAAGCACAGTACTCCCGTTTCCCAACGCTCTCAGCGAAGAGCATCTTTCTCTCAGTCTCGCAGCTTGCATAGGCGGTAGTGGATGTGCAGTGGCGTCCAAGTGGTCGGATACTGCAGATGCCCATACTGAAAGGAGAGTGAAAAGATCGAAAGAACATGAAAGAACATGAAAGAATATGAAAGAACATGTACAATTGCAGGTAGTTTCAGGTGTTTAGACCATCTTCCGGCTAGAAAAGTAGTGAAGGCTAGGACATCTCATGTGCCTGCACCGTTGGGGTGGTCTCATGCCTGTCACGCTGCCTTTATTTTGCATGTTTTTGAGGTCCAGACCGGGATTCTTCTCAACTCCTGTCGGCAGGGCAGGAGAGCGGTCGTGTCATGCCCATGTTGCGTGTCCATATGGGGTTTCTTAAAATGGAGGACTCCAAAAATAGTCCAAATGATTGGTCATTTTTTCTTTGAAAACCGGTGGTTTGGGGTTCCCACCCCAAACAAAAAAGTATGCATGTTATTTTTGGTCAGCACTGTCGTGTCAATCTGCAGGATGGTATCATCAAGGTGTGGTGCTTTGAGAAGAGTCCAGCAACGCTCCAGACTCAAATGGATCGAACTGCGGTGCACAGTCTGAAAATGTGGCAGGGAAAATAAAGATTCACCGATGGATTTTGGGGTTTCCTATTTTCAGACAAAAGCCATATGGATTTTGGGGTAGCCGCATTTGCGATATGGACGTTCAGGACAGGTGCACGTTCTGTCTCCATGTGCACAGTCCAGGTTGAAATTGCAGAGTGTTGCAAATCCTGTGCAAAACACGGCGAATGCACTGCTGGCAGCATGTGTGGGCCCTGGGACTCAACAGATTAGGTTTGCTTGTGGCCTGATCCAGAGACTTTCTTCCAATGCCAATGGAATGTTGCACCTGATTAAATTGCATCATGCCAAGTATCTTGTCTGAAGGAGTGTGAATGGATGAAGGTTTGTTGACAATATTTTGATACTCGCTTGGTGATGACACAATGAATTTGTATTCGAACAATCTCAAGTGATCCACCCCTATGCCAACTGTGAATGACACAGATCTGCATCACTTCTCCAGTTGAGTTTGCGGCACCCTTCACATTGGCTGGCACCTGCTGCTGAGGCTGGGATATGAGTGGAGAAGAGCCAGCGGTGTTGGCCGGCGGACGTGATCAAATTGCCTTCCGTTGGCTTCCATCTGAAGAGGTGGGGCATCCAGTCCTTTGATCTCATAACTTGGCCCACTTGGCTTCTTGCTATGTCTTGCTAAGAGCCGCAATATGCAGTTCCTCCGTGAGTTTGCTTCTGTTAAGGTGGCTCCTGCGCTGGCCACACCCCTTCCGGTCGCACCGGCGAAGGAGGCGAGCAGAAAGCTGTTTGGATCTCTTGCAGTGAGTGATCATATTTGTCTAATATCTTGTAATAGTTTTGGTATGTTTTGGTTGATTATGACGACGTGACTGCGACGTCACCCAGATGAGGGTTGGTGGGGCATAAAAACATCAACAACCTTCCCAAATGGCCAAACTTTTCCGTGCCATGGGCAAGAGGAAGGGAATCTTGGTGGCCAAACTTTTCAAGATGAATCCTTTTTCCAATGTCATTTATATATATATATATAAATATATATTATATGTTTTTCCCACTGGACCAGTTCCGTGGTCTCTCTTCGAAGAGGTTGCGACGCGACCCCCAGCAGTGTCACGCCCAAAGGCAGCTGCAAAGGCTGGGCATTTGGGACTTGTGTTACTTGTGTTGTAGATGAGGGATCTCTTTATGTCTAGAGAAGTCACACATTTCTCTCAAACATAGATGTGTGCCTTGTTTCAGCGCCAGGCTGGAGGTGGCACAAGCTTGAAGCAGGAGTGCTGCAGATTGTGGAGATTTTGATGTTCGATATATTTAATGGGATAATATGGGATTAACTGGGAATAAATATGGGATATATTTTCACCAAGAATCTAGGATATTTGGATGTATTTGAGTTTGTCTGAAACTGGAGCATTTAACTAAAAAATTACGTGAATTTCAGTGGAGAGCAATGATGATCAGACAAACCCATGTCAGATGATACATTTTTTTTCCCTGTTACATTGATACATTTCACTGTTCCATGGATGCCAGAGCTATGCAAACTAGCCCTAACTAGCCCTAGTCCCATTCCTTGCGCTGTCCTTCTGCGGCTCAAGCTTTTCTCCCCAAATTCAGGGCCACTTGGGAACTAAGGCAACTAAGGACTCAGATTTCGCCATGGGAACTGCGCCTTCAAGGCACATCGAAATCTCTGAGGCGGGATTGGGAGTGGGGCTTCACGCCCTGGTCACCCGTGAGAGAAGCATCATGTAGCATGAATGCCGCATGAAAGCATTTGATTTACAGTGCTCACTTGGCAGGATGCAAAAGCCAAAGATGCTGATCAGATGCCTCAAGCGAAAGACACCAAGGATGCCAATAAAGCCATGGGCCCTATGGGCCCTATGGGCTCTGGTATCTCCAACGGTAAGTTTCCTTTCACTCCAAAGATCATTCGGATGGATCGATGCATGGCTCGAACTTGGAATGGTGGGAAAGGTGGCCAATGTAGCCGTCCAAAAACGGCCAATGCGGATTTTTGCACCAGACATGCCGAGAATTTGAAGTGGCAGGTGCATGGCCGCGTGGATGGACACATCCCATCCAAGAAGATCGGTGAGTTTGAGAGATCCCAAAAAATCCTGGAAGTGCGGAAGGTCTCCAAGAAGTGAAGCAATGCAATGAGTTGCCCGGTAGTCCTGAAGCTGCCAACATGCAAATGGTCTTTGAACTGGTGAAGGTCTGCAGTCTGTATGTAAAAACATCGTTTCTGATCTCAAAGCATGATGGCGGTGCCTCTGGCTTCTTCCCAAAGTGGAAGTGCAGGTTTTCATTATTTAAAGATCCACTGCATTTCCCAATCTTGCCAGCAAAGTGCTCCTCGCATACTTTGTAAAGAGAATGTTCCCGAGCACCATTCAAAGTCATTTGCATTTCAATGAAAAAATGTATATATGTTTTTCAAACCTAGGAGCGTTCAGTAAAGTGTGGCAATCTGCAGGTTTCTCGTTGTTGGAGCTGTTCCAATGTGGGCTGAGTGTGGCTGAGTTCCCTGACAAGATGCCTTCCACTTGCCCACCTGTATTGCCGTAGAAGGTGCCGATGGCATTGTCCATTGTTTCTGCTAATGCTATGCCTCACAATCCTGCAACTTACGAAGAGAAAACAAGAAACAACTCGATCACTTCGATGGGTGACAGGCATATGGCTTGAAGTAGAACTGAGATGAAGATCCGCCAACGAGACTGGCCATTGCCCGGAGTTGAATTTCCCGCGGCCAGTGGAAGATCATGATGCTGGAGCATTTGTGATTTGCGTACTTTTCTCATGCGGTGCTTATCTTTGCATCAACAACAAGGAATCATGAACCGTCAATCATAAAACATAAATCATAAACCATAAATTAACATAGTAAACTTAGTAAACCATCAATCATCAATCATGATACCGTGATGCAAATTCTCTTGAGATCAGGAGAAGTCCTCTCTGTTGGCTCTGACCTCTGCAGCTCTCTATCAGCAGCCGGGCGACCCATAGCCGGACCCGTTGTGTCTTTAACATCAAATCTGTGTAAGTCTGCTTCATTGAAACTCATTAATAGACTCCTTGGTTGTGAATCTTTAAAATTCACTAATTCAATCTAATTCATTCATCATGATTCATATGGCTAAACCACTACGACTACGATTCACAAGCGAGATTGAAATGACAGCACCTGCGCTTTCCGTCCTGGTTTATCCCAAGGTCTTCAAAGGCTCGAGCACTTGAGCTCGCCCGTGTAGCGCTGGGCAGAGTCCTTGAAGTGCCGTGTAAAAATCACCGTTGATCCTGTTGGCACAGTGATCATCAGGGATCATCAGGGATCATCAACTCTTCAGTTGATGTCTAGAGCCTGGTCCTTTGATGTCCTTTGATGTCCTAAGATTTTTGGGTGTCCTCCCAGGAAGGCCTTGCTTTTAGCAGCCATGGCCCTAGGTGGTGATGCCGAGCTGTGGCCGGGTGAAAGTCTTCGGGTCTGGGCCTGATTTGCTTGGGCCTGATTTGGTGAGTCACCTCACTTGACCTGGAGGTAATGGAACTTGAAATTTCTGTGTTTGTATAAGGCTGTTGATGAATCAATTCCTCTGAAGCCACTGAAAGCCACTGAATTTCAGAGTTCTCCTGATCAGACGTCAACCCTTGGGCAGGCTGACTCTCCTGGTAGTGCGGGCCTCATTTTGATTGGGCATAGAGTTTGCATTGCATGATGAACAGCAATGCACCTCTGTCCCCTCTTTCAAGCTCAAATCTGATGGCATGATCCACTTTGGCTGTTCGGGGTGAAGGTGCGTCCATTTAACAAAGCGCTTCCTGGCATAGATGTCTTTCCGTGCCTTGGTCCATGTCAGGCATCACTGAAAGCATCTTCACGAACTTCCAGCCATTTGCAGATCGTTGGCTGGAGATGGAAGTGCAGCACAAGCAGCAAGCAGAGGATCCTCACCGAGCCCGTCTTCCATGATTTGCACTTGGAGGTATCCTTTTATTGTTGTTTCACCTGGTTCTAAACAAGTCTCAAATTCAACCAAGGTAAGATATGGGTATATCCGGCAAGTCCCAAAGTGGACATGTTCAAAGTTTGGGGCATTCCCAGAATTCACAACAAAAAAAACACAGCCGCAAGCGGATGGGATGGAGCGGTGAACCCAGGTTTGCTGCAGCTCTGGGCTCCGGAGCTCTTCGATGACGTTCCGCCGCCGGAGATGCCATTGGTCTCGGCGCAGTGGCTGTGGGCGGCATTGTCCAACGATCCCAAGACAGCCCTGGCAGAGATGGTGGCCGCGAAATCTGACACTTGGCTCACTTGACTCACTTGGCTCTGTTTCATAGGGCACAAGGACATAGAATTGCACAGATTTTTAGACGCAAGGTGCATCTGATGAGTCTGATGAGTCAGGATCTCGAAATGAGTGCTGTCGGCCTGTAAATATATTTAGCTCAGACCAATCAAGCAATAATTTCATTTATACGGTTCATTTTCTCAGTGGCTCCCCGACAAGGAGAGTATTCATCACCGGGCAGCTGCAGCTTTGGTTCTCGGTCGCTTAGAAGATGCTGTGGGGCTCTACCTCACCAATGAGCTGCTGGCAGAGGACCAGGGGTGGGGCTCAGATATCTAGGGTGGGATGACGAGAATCAAGTTGAATTGACATAAGTAATGGTAGGAATGTTCTGTTCATGCTTGATCAAGATTTTGAAGGGCAGTCCCGAAGGTGATACATGTTTCCTGCTATGCAGCGCTCTGAAAGTACATCTGGATTTCCAGGCACAGCTAGACCTTTCAACATGCCGGCCTGACACTTTGAACTTTGGACTTCCCTTTCGACAAAGACTCAAATGGGTTTGTCCGAAAGTATAGGGGAAAACCCATTGTATTCGCTGGTTAATCATCATCCTCCCGATATTCCCCCGTGAAATCTGGCCAAACAAATCCATAAAATGCGGGTACATCCCTTATACCCAATTATTTCACACACGCTGACACGCCCAAATAGATTCTGAATGCAAGCATGATCACCAATGGAAATCTCCTGAAGGCTCTCCTGCTTGCACGTCTTCGTCTGCCCTCGCGACACCCCTTGGTGCTGCACATCTACCGAAGCTGGGCACAAGACTTTCGACGTCGTGGGCGACAAGACCAAGCAGCGTTGTGCTTCTTTGCTACCAAGGAGACATGCCACTAGACTTCCTCGAAAGTGACCCAAAGAATGCAGAACACCAACGGGGTATCCATTGTGGTTGGACACCTTTTGGTTTCTCTACTTTTCTCCAAGACTGTTGATCCATGTTGAACGGACTGCTGCTTCAATATTTTTCATAAACTGTGAGATTTCGGATGAGTTTTTCATTACAATCAGCAAGTTTGGAAAGACCCATCATTTGTAGTTTTCCAAACCAGCTTCCAGAATTTCCATGAATTTCCACTGCCAGCTCCAGAATGCCATAGATGTATCATGATGTATCCCGACTCAGTCAAGGCTGAAATTCCGACCGCAGGAATTTGGCAATGCCCTGTCCAACTTGGAGGACTGGTTGGCGGTGCCTAGGGCAGTGCTGGGCCCTGATCCCTTGCGGCTGAGTGGTGCCTTTGCGGCCGCCAAAGCCGCAGCGCAGCTGGCCGGGGTCAAGGCGAAGCTGGGGATTTTGGTGATAAAACACCTGATAACAAGAGAATTGAAGACATTCTGAGTTCTGGCTTAGTCAGTTTCTAAGTCTTGGGTCTGAGAATGTCTGAGATGATTAGTTGATATTGCACAAGCCACATTGACTGCCTCTTCAGGGTCAGTGCGGGACTGCATTTGGATAGCCATGTTGAAAAGCCACCAAGCAGCTTGGATCAAGTTTGTGTTGTGTATTCTATATATTATATACTGTATATACCTGACCCCAGCTGAAGCCATGGGAATCGTTGCCTTTGCATGGCTGTTCGTTCCCCTAATACCTCTCGACACTGCAGTGACTATCACTGGTCACATTTACTGCGACAATTATTTCGAGTTCTACTTCAACGGGCAACAGATTTTCACAGATCCACTGGATTTCACTCCACACAATGCTGTGAAAGTGAGCTTCGACTACGATGAAACCTCTGGCAGCAAAGTCTATGCCATCCTTTGCCAAGATTATGCCAGCGACAGTGGCTATGAATACACGTCCACCAATTCGCCACAATTGGGTGATGGTGCTTTGCTGGCCGAGTTTTCGGACGGCACCACCACCACTTCAGCCTGGAAATCTTATGTTGTGACCTTTGGCCCTACTGATGCCTCCATTAGCAGTGGCTGTTCCGCATCCAACTTGAGCCCATGTGCCATTCAAGACAACGGTGTGCCAAGCAATTGGTATGCTACTGACTTTGATGATTCTTCCTGGGCTTCTGCCACGGAATACACCGCCTCACAGGCTGGATGGGGAAGGAGGCCCAGTTATTCCAATGGTATGTGCGGGACCATCACATCACCCATCACCAAACAGACGGCCAGCCCGAGTTCCATTGCCACTTCACAAGATGCCTGCTTGGATCCAAGGTCTGTGCTTTGTGGGGGCGATGAAACATGTAGTGGCACTGATGGAAGATTCATTTGGGGTGCTGACATGGACAGAGACAATAAGATGCTCTTTCGCTTCACTTCGAGCGATTCGAGCGACTCAGCTTCTTCGACCAGCTCTGCTGGCTCAGTGTCTACCAGTACCGTTGGTCTTTCCACCAGCTCTGCTGGTAACAGCTCGGCAGTTTGCTTCTGCAAAAGCTACCTGCTAAGTGCGGTGCTTCTGCTGGCTGGGATCGGCTACCATGCCTAGTTTCACGAGCCAACCCAAGCAGAAGTGAACAAACTTTTAGATGCTGAAGGATTGTAGTTCAAAGCCAGGAAGCCATTGGAACTCACCAGCAGGCTTCCTGTCATGCTACGGAGTGCTTTGGGATCTTTGGCAGACCTTGGGCGTGAGTCAAAACAACTTGTGGCTTTCTAGGGTGAGACGAAACGCAAATGACACCTCGTGAGCCCACGAAGCCCATAACTCATAACCAAAAACAAACACAGAAAGATCAAAAATAACAGTTCATGTGAACAAGGGTCAAAACCTTCGCGCAGGCAGATGGCATACAAGATGGAGCTGGCTGGGTTCCCAGGGTTCAACTAGTTCATGACCCTTCATCTCTCTGAAAGCGTTGGAAGTATCATGGAAACATCTGGAACCAACTCTTTTGAGAATGCCTCCATGACTTTCTCGGCATAAGATGTGAGAACCTCCTGTTGCACAGAGGAAGTCAAGAAGATGGCAGTGAAGATGATTGTGATGCAACGCTTGCAGCTCATTGCACAAGCACTGTTTGAACATGTTTGAACCTGGTTTGGCCAACTGGTTTGGCCAACTGGCTTGAGGTTTGTAGCACTTTGTAGCTTCAGAGCATGCCGGGCCATACCCCGAGGTTAGCCTTTGATCACCGGAGTTGGTGGGGTCGACCTGAGCTTCGTGCAGCTGTTCAGGTGGGAGCCATCTTTGTGTCGTATGAAGGCAACATATTTTTTTACATGTAAAAACACATGCGAAATAGTATGATCACCGAAATAGAGAGGCCTTCTAAATGAATTCCCACTGATTACTCGGCCAGAGGCATGGAAGAGGTGCATGGTCGAGGCACTGTACACAGGCCAGGGAAGAGGTTGCGTCCAAGCAAAACTCAGAAGCAAGCTCTAAAAGTTGAAGGTAGAAGTAACTCAATATTCCTTCCTTTGGCTTCATTTCTGTCATCCCCAGCCCACCTGTACCCTGAAGTTGCTTTTTTGGTTTGCCATGTGAGGCGATTCCTCTTCTGCGCTCAAAGTGGCCAGAGTTCTGGCCCCGGGTTCTCCGGTTCTCGTGTCAGATGTTGTGCTGCACAGCCCACCAAGTGTTATCCATGTCGGATTGGTAGCTGGATGAAGCTGCACTCAGGTGGGTCCTTTGAAGAGAGCCACTCACTTACCATCAATCCAAATTCATTTGTTCTGTCTAGATGAAAGAGTTGAAGTGTTTCAATATCAGTCTTCTCGACTTTCTCTGCAATGGGGCGGGTATTCACTCCCCCAACTAGGCATAGAATGGCATAGATCAAAAGCCTATTACCCTGGTAGTTTTGGATGTTCATCCCAATGGTAACACAGATTTTGACCCAGTTTGGGGTGCCGGCCGAGGACCTCAGTCATGGGGAGCGCTTCCTACGGGGAGCATTTGCTGGTTATGTCTCCACCTCAGATCCGTCCCAAAAAATTGGAAGCACACCGCGAAACCATCCCAAAATCAATGGGTCTTCTCTTTTGATCGTGGGTTTTCGTCGCCAGATTTTGACCATATCCGGTCCGAGGCCTCTGCCATGGCATGGTGGATGCAGCTCAGAAAGGAAGGAGAATGGCCGAAGGCTCACGCCCTCCATGGACTTGGCGACAACTGACAACTGATGTAAAATCGTGATGGAGGTTGAAATACCTTCATGCAGACATCTGGAACGGAAATTGGTTTGATTTTTTGCTGAGGAAAACATTATCCCACAACATATAAAAGCAGTTGCTCCCCGGTGCCCCAAGGGCAGTAACAGCATTCAAGCAAAGCTGCAGTCAAACAGCTTGTCTCAACATGTGACAAGTACAGGCAGAGTGCCCTCTGGCTGCCTTTGTGGAAACAGGCTCTTCTTGCCTAGAAGATGATGACGTTGAGACTTGGACACACGAGTTGCTGGAGTTGAATGCTTGGTCTGGTTTCTCACTTTTGTATTTGAGACAGATGGTACTGACTTTGACAATCCCTGCACCCTGAAGGTCTTAACATGTCTTAACAGTGTTTCTTTTTTTCCCGCTCAACCAACTTGTTGGATTGTCTTTCACAGCAGAGTTTGAGGGGATTGAGGGATGCGTTGAAGTTCAAAAGGTCCAAAACTGTGTCTTTTTAAGAAAGTTGCTTCACCTTCACTTGTATTTTCACAGACCGACCCCATATTGCAGGAGCAAACGCAATAAAAGCAAACATGATCTCAAGATATCTTAAGATTCAATGAAGAATACTGGCTTGCTGATGATCTATTTGTTTGCAAAGGACTGGGACTTTGAGTGGCGCGCTCTCACCTGGTTGCCTGCGTATTCTTCATCAGAAGAGGAGATCTAAGCTGATGCCATTGTAGCTGCTGCGAGATTTTACAAGAGTGACTAAGGTCCAGATTTGTTTGTGCTTGTTCATTCATATGGTAAAAACTGGATCAGATTGGGTAGCTCACAATACGACGATTTTATGACAAGAAAGTGAAGTGCAGCCCTGCATGTGTGGATTGGAGGGTTATTCATACCGCAGTAGTCTGAGAGTTTGCTCACACTTTTCTGCTGCCGCTGTCAACTTACAAGGACTGCCTACTGACGGCTGCTGTGGAGCTTGGTCGTTCTTGCGCCTCTTTGGCTTCTGGTGGCCGAAACGCTGAGGCGGATTCGAAGTTACTGGATCTCTCTGACTTATTTAGTGAAGAAGTCACTGGATGGTTTCGAGACACTCATTTGCACTTTTTGTCCCAATTTGTCTAGCTGCTGTCAGAGATTCTACACCAAGTCAGTTGCCAGACAATTTGGTTTAGTCATCCGCGCAGTGAACCAACGTTGCACGGGCCAGGATAGGACGTAGGCAATTTTCTGTTCATCATGTTGGGGCCGTACAATTTGACAGCATGATGTTTCGCTCAAAGTCAGCACCAAACAAACTGTTTTGGTTTCAAAACCGGTCGTGTAGCGTGTGTATGTGTTTGTGTGTGGAAATCCTCACCGAACCCAGCATTCAACAGGTTCCCTTCGCAAGTTTTTCGTCCAGCAATGCCGACCCCAGCAAATAGATGGTTGTCATTTCCCATCCTGGGCATGTCTTGGTTATTTCTTTTCCTTTGGGTACGCTTCCCTACATTGTGCTTTGGCAAACCGAAGCAAGAACCTATTGGTGCAATTCGCGAACGTTCTGGAGAAACTTACCGAACCAAAGCCGCCGGCAGAGTACCCCAAACACCCTTGACGGATGCAGAAAAGCAGTTGCTGACCTCAATTTCAGGGGCAAGCGAAGCCAGGGATTGGTCTCGAGTTCAATTCCTCACCGCAAAGTACAGTGGAACCTCATCAGCAATCTATTCTGCTGCAATGAAAGGGGCATTTCGGTGCCAGAAATATGAAGAAGGGGCATCTTTGTACAACAAGTGGCTAAAAGTTGATGGTCTTGATCACGAACCACTTTTTGTTTTTGCCATCAAGATCTTCGGAAAGTTGGGAGAAGCAAAAAAGGTCCGTGAGGTCTACGAACGGGCCTTAAAGGCATTGAAGCTTTCAGAGATTCTTGCAGCCGCCCGAATCAATGCAGCGGCTGATGAAGGTGACGTGAACGCAGCAGCAGCAGTTTTGGAAGAGATGGAGAATGCTTCCTTGGCTATCAATGTGGCTCATGTGTCGTCAGCCATCCGCGCCTGTCATGGTTGGGGCAAGAATGGACACAAGGCTGCAAAGTACTTGTTTAGGTTGCTCCCGAGACTTGGCCTAGAACCCAACATTGTCTTATTCACTTGTCTGGTCAGAGCATACCACACTGCGTCTCTTGACGAATTGATTTTGGTGTACCGCGAAATGAAAGACCTCCAGGTAGCACCAAACCATGTCTTTGCAGAGACGTACATCGTGTCCCTGCTTCAGACTGATGCCAAGATTGGCTTACCACGCGACCTTGATGATCTTTGTGATGTTTTGCGGGACAAACCAATCGAGCGCTTACAGGCAGCGCGAGAGGCCTTACGGGATTTCAAGGCAGATGGATTGAAATTGACCGGACTCTCCAACAACATCGAAAGAGCCTTGGAGCGCCTATTCCAATAGTGCTTGGGTCTGACAAGATGAAGTCCAACTCAAAGAGATTGTGAGACCCGCTGAACTGAGACAGAAACTGAACAGTGAGTCTTGAGTCGCTGACAGGGCTGCAAAAGCATAGGGATCATATGGGATCATAGATGATAGAAGCTGTAGTATATAGGGTGAAGCTCCAACAACTCTGTCTGGTGTGAGCAGTTGACAGTGCTACAACTGTGTCGACGTTTACCTATCACACTTCTAGAGCGACCGACATTGCAGATACACACTGACACATGTTTCTTAAGCTTGGGAGGCCCAAAACCATGGGTGATTTGGATGATTTGGTGTCGCTCCCATTTTCAGAATCTCACATGGGGACAACGAGCTGAAGAATCCGCCAGGCTCCTTGGACGCACCTCCTCAAAGCGATCAACGCTTTGGTGAAGGGCGCCACTAGCGCGTTGCAAACACTGTCCGAGTCTCAAGAGCTACGAACGCGAGAGTGCTGGATGACCTACAGAGAGAGGTTTTAAGAAAAATCGTGGTGTCAGAATATTTCAGAATATATTATCTTTATATAGGGTGTATATATATACATAATGGGTGTATGTATAATGGGTGGATATATATATATATATATATTCCGAATATCTTGTGAAGGGAACATATCCCAACTTCTGGAGGCCAGAATCCCATGGACCCCAACTTCTACCCACCTTGATCCCTTTATGCTTCAGGCCAGCAAATGAGATAGCCTCTCCAGTCTGAACCTGAGCTTTGTGACACATCTATCTGGTGCTATGCCCACCTCAGTGAACTTTATCAAAGGAGAATACTCCAACCATAGACATTGATAATTAGTTCGGATATAGATAGACCATTATATTGTAAATTATATGTAATATATTATATACGTATATATGATATACGTATATATGATATATATATATTATGATATATTATGATATATTATATAAATTATATATATATACACATACATTGTACTACAATATATGCAAATCAGACAAACATATTCATACCGAGGCCACGGCTGAGGGCTTGTTGCAGGTCGCCACACCACTGGAGCGACTGGTGGAGTTGCTAAGGTGGGGGGACGGCTGCCATGGAGAACAGCTAACCCTAAAAAGATGTACCCAGAGCATAAACTGCAATATACTATATATAATATATAATAATATAAGTCATGTATAATATAAAAAAGATTTCCTTTTGGTTTTCTGAAAACTGTTCGGCTGACATGATCTCTAGATTTCTGATGGTTTGGGGACTTTCTCCATTTTTGCAGATTGCCTGAGAAATACAGATGTGTTGCTGCTTCTAGATCTCTTGGCTTTGCTGCTGGAAACCACTTTGGATTTTTTGCTCAAAGCCGGCACAGTAAGCTGGCGCATGACATAATCGTTTCCATGAACCTGCGGACTCTCTGAAGTTCGTCCATGTTGACAACAAACTCAACAGACAAACCCGACAAATGCAGTAGCTCTTCAAACCTCAAAGTTTTGCCATGTTTTTTTTTCCAACTGCTTCAGCAGTCTTTTCCTGAATTTTCAACCGGCTTCGCCAAATGCCGAAGCGATGGGTTATCGTTCGAATTTGGGCTACTTGGATAGAATTGTTGCACGCAAGATTGAGCTGACATTTTTTTGGCCTGCAAGTCGTTTTTGTTCATTTTTAACGTCAGATGACACAGGACATGTTGTTGTTTTGATTCCTTTGGACCGAAAAGGAACACCTTGGTCTAGTCCGTTTTGTCAAGCTTATATACAGACGGCTCCTCGTGTTTCAGTTGAAATATGGAGGAACATATGGAGGGAGAAAAAGGGAAGAAAAATAGGGAGAAAACCATAAGGAGGAAACCAGGGAGAAAATAGGGAGACCATAGCCGAAGTCCCTTAAGAGTTTTGAGGCCTGCTGCCTGCTTGGTGCTCTCTCGGTGAAAGCGCCCGTGGCATGTGGGTCCAGTGAAAACATTACGGCCTGGCAACCCAGGGATTTCCAGACTTCACGTGGCCTGCTATGGTTGGGAGGTGTGTGCTGTATGACTTCATTAATTTGTTTGGCTGCCTGATTGGATCTTGATCTTGGCCTACGGAAAGAGGTTCAGTTGTAGCAGTTGAAGAAAAAGGCTAATAAAGGGTGCATGGCTGAGTGGTAAAGTGTTTGATCGAATTGTCATTGACCTATGGCAAACATTTTTACATAGCCCGCTCACTCAGTGGTTTCTTATCCCATTTCTGGCTACTTTGAACGTCCAGTACCACATCCCAGTTGTATCCCTTTTCCAAAATCCGGACCGTTGCTGCTCCCAGTCGTTGTTTTATCCAGTTGGATTCGTCTGAAAATAGGGCACCCCCAAAAATCTTTTGGTTCATCATATTTCCCATGGAAGTGGCCTTACAATGGGTTATCCCAGTTATCCCCATTTCCCATTTTTGGACAAGCCCCGTTGACCCCGGAATGCTCAGCAACCCTTTTAAAGCTCAAGCTTTGGTCGCTCCTTCCGCTACAGCTACGTGTAGCTATGCCAGAGACCATGGAGATTAGCGATGCGGCGAAGTCGGGTGATGGCACCACCCAAAACGTGGGCATCAAGGTGGGTGCAAGCTTTCAATGTGCAGAATGCCGTCAGAAGTTTGACTCGGAGAAGGCCAAGCAATTGCACTGGAAGTTCATCCATGACCCCAACCGACACCAGGAGGATTGAGGGACAAAAGTAAGTCTTGAGCATTGAGAAAAAGCTCGTGAAAACGGCAGGCATTGCGCGGTTTCAAGGGCAATGACCTAGATTTGCAGAAGCTGCTTTTTGGCACCAGCTCTGCTACAAGCAGAGACAATGGTGACTTGCATTCTGGGCTCAGAGAGCAGAAGGTGTTTTTGGCACCCTGTGCAATTTTGAGTCTTGAGCATTCTGCAACCAAGTGAGACACAAAAAGAAGGGGAAGCAGCGCTTTCGCTTGACACCGGCAAATTGCACGAAGAGCCCCAAATTCACATTCATCAAAATTCCCAATATGGCCTACCCATAGAATCAAACCACAAGAAATTTTCTCCCACACTTTGGGCAAAAACTCTCTCGAGGTCGACCTGGTCAGGCACGGTGCAATGGGGATTTGGATTCCGTTGGATTCCGGGAGCCTTCACCGGCGGCGATGGCGCCAGGCTGTTGCCCCAGCAACCGCATACCAATGAGGATCTTAGCATTGAGGTCGTCGGAAGGGTGCCGCAAGACGCACTGCTACAGGAGCATGAAAAGGGGGTCAACCAGTCAACCGGCTTCAAAACTGCCAGACTCTGCCATAGGGGGATGAACATTCAATCATACTCCAGGTATTTTGCGATTGGCCAGAGCATGAGGTTTTGACCCATACCCATTTATTTGCTTAGTTTTGCGGGATCACTCCAAGCAAACTTCACAAGAAATATTGCGCAGATGTGGCTTTACGCATGTCTCCTCTCATGTCAGGACCCAATGCAAATTGGTATTGATGCAAGGGCCACTCGATTGCAGTCGTTGGCTCCAAGTCTCGGCATGTTTGGAGACAGTGCTTGGATGAGGCATAGTTGAACGGCTTACTCTTCCTGACCAGGGCTAAAGACCAGCCCGGTACATCAGATGCTTTTGAGTTCTGGAAAGGTGTGCCTTTCAGGTCCTTTTTTGCCGCCGTGTCGGTGATTGCATGCCTGTGACTCTGCTGCAAGAAGCTTGTTGAAGTATGTTGCACTTGCAATAAACGCGTGTGCTGTTGAGAAGTCTTATTTCTTTTTAATGTTTTCAATTTTCAGCTGGTTTACACCACACCCATTCGATAAGAGCAACTTTCATTGCAAGGGCAAAGCCAAACAGAAGTCGCTTGTGAATTTTGGAGAAGACATGTACAAGACTTTTTGATATCACACAAGAGTCCTAAAGCTTGGCTTTAAAATTACAGAAATATCAACTTGCCAAAAAACCATTCGATACTGTGTGAAGCTGACGCCGGAAAGCCTCCCCTTGAATGGAGCTTCAGGTGTTTCATTTAAATACCACGCTTTGCGAAGCTTTGATGGATTCTGGAAAGGAGTGTAGCGGTCTGCAGCTTGGCAGAAGGGTTTGATGGAGACAATTTTCAGCCAAAGCTGTCAATACACAAGTGAAACATAGTGAAACTTGACTATCGATGACGTCAAGGGCTTCTGGTTGTATCACTTCAAGGCTTCAAACCTTCAGCAGTTTCCAGGTACTTCAGGAGGGTCTGCTCCCAGAAATCCGGTGGGTTCCAGAAGTGTACACTTTTTTCAACGATGGCCTGTGTATTACCCGTATTGGGGAAAGACCCTCAATCCAATAATAACGGTCAACACACCCATGAGCAAATCTTTTTCGAGCGGTCCTTGAGGAAGCCTGGGCAGACATTCTCGTTGTCGCGAACCTGGCACTTGCCGCTTCTCATGGTCCGCGGGACCTACACCCTTCTGCTACAATTTCACAGGACACGTACTGGGCAACCAGCCACCGATTCCCGGAGCTTGGGAAATCTGAAAGTCAGCACAACTTAAGAAGTACTGCTTCATACTTCTTCATATTTATTTTCGTGATTGTTCTGGCAGAGCTATATACTGTCTCTCCTATGTGAGATCGAATATTGCCTCAGGATTCATCCGGAAGTTGCGAAAGCTCGAGATGCACATCCCTACGAGCAGCTGAGCTGAGATGAGCTAAGATGGAGACATGTGGATGTGGGTCAAAATGGAAGACCTAGGGGACCACAGATGTTAGTCTAGTTTAGTATTAACCATCCATAATTTTGGGGTACCTAATTTTGACCCATAGCCATGTGGAAATTCCACAGGTGTTGACAGTGTTGACGTGTTGCGGCCGGCCTTCGTCATCAGGTACTACAGCAATGTGATCAATAGCCAGTTCTACAGGTGCCGAGTTTTTCAGCAGACCCCGACTGGGTTGTGACAAGAATGGATTCTCTCTGGTGCCATGGACCAGGTCTGAAAATGGGGGAGTTCTTGCAAATTTTATAGCAATTTGGCAATTTAAGATAATTTTAGTAGGGAAAATGATAGTCCATGAAATTTCGGGGGTACAAAAGAGACAAAGAGAAGGGTTTTGCTCAAACTAATCGCAATGGTGTTCCTGCATCGTTCTCTATTGCCGATTCTCCATTGGCTGCAGGCCAGCCGGAGACGTGAAGAACTCAGATTTTGACTGTGAATCAACCATCATTTGAGGCACTAGGCACTAAGCTTTGGAGGGAAACGGCAAGGGACTGTTTCACATCAACTGTGGATAGTCTCACAAAAAAAACCTTAGGTCATGTCGTGCTACACACTGCACGAAGAAGTACTGGCGAGCCGACAAATCAATATTTTGCGAGACTTTCGTGATGCTATCATAGCTTTCTTGATCGCTGCAAGTTCTTCACGCGCGATTGGCAGCCACTTTCCTGTGTGGTCAAGAGGGATTCTGCCACAGATCAGCGGATTCCTCTTCATAGGTGGCTTGTTGGCACAGTGACATTGGTGGTAGCTTCATCAAGTGCTAGGCTGCTAGTCAATCCCATCATTTTTTGAGATCTCCGATGCCACTCATCACTATGGAGCACCAGAGCAGTGGCTGCAAGGCCATGTCTAAGGAATTCTGGTTGGGCCCTATTGTGCGAACCTGGTCTCCCAGATGCACATCACAATTATTGGTGGCATGATCAACAAGGTCTCCTTGGCGTTTATTGCAGGCCCAACTGTAGCTTTATCTTTTCCGCGGATGAGACAGAGAGTTCTTAGAATCTACTTCTCCAACTCATGTCATTGAATGACGCTGAAAGAGATTGTGATTAGATGACAGTGTTCAAAAGTTGGTATACCCACAACAGCGGATGCTCATCCCAGCATTTATAGGGATTTATAAGGATTTATATATCTAGAAGCATTTTCTTTGCTGCACAGGTGCAGCTGGAGCCGAGATCTTTCTTCCAGAACTGCAGGGCCTTCTGAAGCCAATGGCACTTCAGGTCCGAAATCTGGCAAAATTCTGATGCATTGTACGTTGAAAAGCTGAAAAGCTTTAGGGTTGGCTAGCATGGTAGAGGTGGCGTTGGTGTTTGATGCCTGCATGTTTATGGATTGGATTTGGATGGATTTACATGGATTCATAGCTTTCATGGCATCCTTCGAGTGCAATCTTCCCAGGTGCTCCTCATTTGTACAGCAACAGCATCTTGGCTACGGCTGTGTTGGTCCTGGATCCTGGAGCCAGTTGATGCCACTGGAGTTTGTCTTATGGGGTTGGAACCGTGTTTGGTGAATATCCACGAAGCATCACACTTCACAACACTTCACACACATATCTCATATGAATTCAGATGATATCTCATATGGTAATTACATATATATATAAATATGTATCATAGGTGTATACTGTATCTCATATGGTATATACATGATATATATACATATATGTGTATATACACAGAACATACACATAAACACCAAAAAATATATGTTTTGTATATGTTTCCCACTGAGTGTTTTCAATGCTTCCCACTGAGGTCACCTTCTGTGCCACGGGAATCTTCTTCTTGGAGTCGTCCCAGCTCCTCTCAGTCACCTCGGTCTCCATGCAGCCCAACCTGATGGCCAAAGCCAGCATTTCTTTGCTCATGGGAGCAGCTTGGCTGGGAATTCTTAGGAAATCTTAGAGTCATGGGTGAATGTGCAAGATTTGACAAGCCCATCTCAAATGGGCTAACGCTCGCCGCCGACCCCCCTTTTCAGGGCTGGGCGAAACGTGCCAACCAGCAGTTTCAAAACCCTATAGAAAGGATGTTTTGGGAGCCTGCAGCAGTCTCGCAGCCCTTGGCAACGGGCTGAAGCTGCAGCGAAGCTCGGCAGCGAAAGCTCTCACAGGTGAGGCCGCAGCCAATGTCGCACACCTACGGTGATCCCAGGCGCCGCCCCACCTAGGCCAAGGCCAGGCAGGGGTCGGCGGATATGATATATTATATTATATATATACACATACACATATATACGTATATCTATATCTATATCTATATATATATAAATATATTTACACATACATACGTACACTTTAATAAATATATTAATAATATTGCCCTTATTATTACTAATCATTATTGTTCTTATTATCATTATTAGATTCTAGAGCGCTTGCGCGCAATGTGAAGTCAAACTCAAGAATTGTCAGCCTGTGGTTGCTCGATGTGACTATGAATGAACATGCATCTACCAAGGCTCTGATGACAGCGCGTAGTCCTGCAAGCGCCATTGCCATCATCGCAGAACTGAAGTGTGGCGATACTAAGGCACCATGGAATGCAAACACTATATACATTTACATCTATGTAAGCCTATATACATTTCACTACATGCCAATTCCCACCCGAACGAGATTGTTTGGTCGTGTATACAACATTCATAGATCATGATTCATGATCATTCATGATCAATGTTCTGGCGCATAGGGGGCCAACCCCAACCGTTCTGAGTTCAACAGCCGAGAACCTTCAACTCACATGTCCAACAGGCTGGCAGCATGGCCATTGGGATCACAGTTCTCAGCAACCCGGCAAGCAATCTGAAGGACATTTCAAGGGCCCATGCTTTGAAGTGGTCATTTTGAACTGTCGTTTTTTTGGTTGGGAACCCAGTGGTTGAAACCTGGTCCCTCAATCTTGTCCAGATGCTCACGCAAGTGTGAGAATAAATCCAGATTAGATTGAGAGCATCGAGGGTTTTTGCAGCACATGGTACCCAAGTCAAGTGTGGCTGACCTCATTTGAAACACAACGCAACAGTAAGGTGATATTGCCGTGCTGGTCCTCTTTGCACTATGCTCCCAGCACCTCGGCGTTGGGTGATTGAAATTCGGCAACATGATGCGGCCAACTTTCTTTCGAGAAGAGCTGGCACCAGTCTTCTCAAGGTGTGCTCTAGAAAGGTTTTTTCTGAAATCAGCACTCGGTTGTGCAGTTTCGCAAGCTCAGGCCTTGTTTCTGGGTGTGAGTCTGGATCAACGCAGAGATTTTTAGGTCCTTTCCCGCCCCAAGTGTCAAAGCCCCAAGTGTCAGATTCGAACGCCACCCATTTTCTACCCCTCAGTTGCATCACTTGATCTGAGGCTCGTTCGAGCTACTTCCAGCGGCGAGGATCTAGGGCCCTATGTGCTTCTGGGTGTGGGAGTTCCCAGTGGGCTCAGGTGGTGCCCCTTAGTTATGCGGTTTGATCTACCCTCTTGATCTATAGATCTACCAGTGATCTACCAGACACCATAGTTAACCTGGGCTATTAACACCAGATCCCATGGCTGTGCTCCGAGGTCTTCTTTGAGCTTGGCATCTCGATTCTCATGGGCTACGCGACTGGACAGCTGATGCGTTTGGCCTTGCCTCCACGGCTAGAAGCAGGCGTGGTGCTGCAGGGTTCAGGTGTCCGGGATTTTTGGTGGGTTGCCCCAAAAAGGAAAGATATCCAGTGATATCCAGGAATTTTATGACCACCTTTCAGAGCTTCTCATATGTATTTGCTGCCGAACATTCCAGCAATTCTGTGGACACCACTTGAGTCCCTTGTTGATGGATGTTGATAATAGTCAGCTGAGCCCGCAGACTGTCAATATGACATGTGCACCAAGAAGGGGGAGGAGAAGGCACACCGCCCACAGAAGTCTCAGATTGGATGCCTGGCCTTGACACGCCAAATTGTAGCCAGGAAACATGCAAGCCTGTGGAGATTGTTGCTTTGAGTTCTGTTTGGCTCAGTCATCTACTTGCATCAGTAAACAGAACGAGATGATATTGAGCAGGAAAAACTATCCTGCATCATCCTTTGCTCATTGGCTTTCTTGACGGGGAAATCTACAGGAACCCGCGGTTTTTCCTCGTAAGCATGATGGTATCTGCACATTCTTTTCCTTCACCCAATTCTAAGAATTGAAATTTCTGGGTGATTCGTGGAGTTCTTGGGCATCTTCAGTTCTTGGCCAGTCAGTTGCATGTTTTTCATCGCAGTTTCAGCAAGATTGTCCATGTCATGGTGGCCAAACTTCGAAGCAATTTGATCCCTGATGTCCTGGTGCTGAGGATCGGTCCTTTTGGGATTTCTGCTGATTTTTATCCTTTATGCTGTCTTTTGTGTGGCCGAAGGGTGCAGTGACTGGACGGAGCCTTGAATCGCAGAGATGACTCAGCTGTTGGTTACCAAACCTTTTGCTTGAAGTTGGGGTGGCAGTTGTCGCGCTCAGGGTGGGAAGCTGTGTTTGGAGCCGTTGCTGGTTTGCACAGCCACTTTCCTGAAGCAGTCTCTTGAGGTCTTGGATTCTCATTCAATGTACCAGGTCATCAAGTTAGCTGTTTTTTTTTGATGTAGAAGCCTCTATCAAATCCTCAAACCAGGAAAGTGCCTGCTGGGTATTGATCCCTCAAATGTCCAGAATTGCTCCCAGAAGGGATGCATCATCTGGATATCTTCATTCATTGCACCCTTCATTCTTGTTCATGCCCCAGCGCTGCCCCGTGTTGCGAAAGTGATTCTTTAAACCAATTTTCTCTGGTTTAAAGTATAGATTCCCGCAGCAGCAAGAATAATGTGTCCAGACATATGACATGACACATTCTGAAACCATACCTACGACATAGCTATGAGAATTTTGGGATCTACCCTCTGGTAATTTAACATAGCTATTGAAAATGGCCATAGAAATAGTGGATTTACCCATTGAAAATGGTGGATCTTTCCATAGTTATGTTAGTTTACCACAGGGTACCTATGAGAAATTTGGGATCTATTTGGGATCTCCAGACCTTCATCCCAAATGGGTCCCTAGGTGGCTGCCTGCGTTTGTGGCCACGACGAACTTCGTCGTGAGGGTCTCTTAGAGGCGCTGGCAGCATGGACGCCTTTGGCCTGGGAGCCCAGATGGTGGTGCCGGGGACATGAACAAATAAACAGCATCGGGGTTTGGACATGGTGTGTATGTAACGTAATGTAACGTAACGTATCGTAATGTAATGTAACGTAATGTAACGTAATGTAATGTAATGGTCTGTAATGGTATGTAATGGTATGTAATGGTATGGTATGGTGTGGTATGGTATGGTATGTACGTATGTATATATATATATTTCCAATTTAATGAATTTTCAGAAGGGAAATGATGATAAAGCAATTTATGGCAATCAACAGCTGGGGGCCTGTCTAAAAATGGGGGTTAAATCATGAAACGTGTGGATTTAAGCATCAAATACATAAACCGTCAAGAATGAGGATTAAACGAATAGTGCAAATGGTTTGTTCAAAAAATATAGGATGGAATGCCCCTCAACTTATGGTAACTTATTTGAGGAACATCATGATAAAGGATGGGATGGAATGATTTAGGGGTACCTTAACTTTTGGGAAACACAGTCAATATGGAGACATAGTCGAGCAAAGTAATGGGAATTGAAGTCATTTAAGCACCAGAGCCAACCCAGAAATGATCTCTGATAATGTTTAGTTGATTGAGAGTAATGGATTGTGGTATTGGGTCAAAACCAGCGAGTTGCAGCGTGAGAGGAGTTCCAAACCACGAGCTGAGGTCCTCTTGCCTTTCTTCACATTGGCGGGAGCTTCGCTTCAACTGTCCGGTCAGCCTAGAGATGACGGAAGCAGTTCCACAAACACTCAGTGGTCCTAAATTCCTGCCATGGGAAACTGGGGTAACTTTGTAGATTTTGGAGTTTTTGGAACCTGCTGTTTGTGAGGTCGAGCCTAAGCCAAGTTCTACCAGCAGCTCTTTGTTTGGTGGTCTTGCGAGTTGCTTGGCAGTGACCAGACTGTTACCTTGCCAAAGCACTTCTTCTTCCCTGCAACAGAAATCTTGGCCACTTATCAATGCTGTTTGCGCGGAAGGCTTTGGGTGTTGCTGCTGGCAGTGCAGGCACAACACACGGAAGTCATCCCTTGCAAACACTACACTGCAAGCACTGCACTTTCAGTGCTGGTTTGGGTTTGTCTGAACATGTACCCCAAAGTCCATTGGTTTGAAGCATCGTTTTGCACATTATGCCCATAGCCTCTGGTAATCGTTTACATGGCCATGGAAAACCACCATGTCGATAGCTATGTTAGATTGCCGGAGGGTAATTAGGGGGTAGATCCACCATAGTGGAAACAGACCTGAGCTCAGCTCCAGGTGCTGGCGCTCTTAGCCGGCTTTTTTTGCCGCAGTCACACACTTCCAAGGCACCACGGTTTTCGGATTTGGGTTTGTCTGAAGATGGGATATACCCATAAAATGGCAATTCTGAAGGGAAACATGGTGATAAACTATTGGATTTTTGGGTTGCCTATTTTCTGACAAACCCAAAACTGAATGCTGCTGAATCGTATTTCAACCTCAACCTGATGCAGAATCATGTTACCAGCGAGACTGATCGTGACAGGAAACTGTGCAATATACTTGGCTAACATTACTGGCACAGGCAGGGGAAGACAGGATGGGATCTCGGTGTGACCATCTAGTGGTTGTGTTGAGTCCTTTGCCCAGCTTTGTTCTGTCGAAACAAGGGCTGGTGGCACCCTGGTTTGTACTTTTTTTTTACACTGCAAGCAATGTAACTAAGTAACGGATATCATACTGTGCAATCTGATCTGCTAGTGTTTTAAAAGCATGCAGATTGCGCCTTTTAAAAGGTTGTTGCATGTTGTTGCGAAACCAAGTTCCGTTGAACTGCACCTAATCCATCCTAATCCTGCTTGTCCCCCGTGAAGCCGTGAAGGCTGGTGTTACTTTGGGCCTTGTTCTGGAGGTGCAAATGTCAGATGCGATGGAATGGTTTCCCACCAGTCTCCCACTTTGACTTTCCTTTTTGAGTGCACACCCCAAGAAATCATAAGTTGGAATTTCTCGCAGAATTTAGGTTTTGCCCAGTGACTCTAGCGCTTTTTCTATCTTTTTCTTGGGTATCTTGGGTATGGGTGAGGTGCAGCACACCTTTAAGGGTGCATGGACCCAGCCCTTTGCCACACTGATCATCAGCGTCGTGGTGATCAATCAACTCATTGGACCCGTCGGCAACCACAGATCCGACAGGTGGAGATGTTGGGAAAACGTTGGGAAAACGTTGGGAAAACGTTGGGAAAACGTTGGGAAAACGTTGGGAAAACGTTGGGAAAGCGTTGGGAAAACGTTGGGAAAACGGTGGGAGAAAACGGTTGGGAAAACGTTGAGAAAACGTTGGGAAAACGTTGGGAAAACGTTGGGAAAACGTGGGAAAACGGTGGGAAAACGTTGGGAAAACGTTGGGAAAATGTTGGGAAAACGTTGGGAAAACGTTGGGAAACGTTGGGAAAACGTTGGGAAAACGTTGGGAAAACGTTGGGAAAACGTTGGGAAAACGTTGGGAAAACGGTGGGAAAACGGTGGGAAAACGGTGGGAAAACGGTGGGAAACGTTGGGAAAACGTTGGGAAAACGTTGGGAAAACGTTGGGAAAACGTTGGGAAAACGTTGGGAAAACGTTGGGAAAACGTTGGGAAAACGTTGGGAAAACGTTGGGAAAACGTTGGGAGAACGTTGGGAAAACGTTGGGAGAACGTTGGGAAACGTTGGGAAACGTTGGGACGTTGGGAAACGTTGGGAACACGTTGGGAACACGTTGGGAAAACGTTGGGAAAACGTTGGGAAAACGTTGGGAAAACGTTGGGAAAACGTTGGGAAAACGTTGGGAAAACGGTGGGAAAACGTCGGGAAAACGTTGGGAAAACGTTGGGAAAACGTTGGGAAAACGTTGGGAAAACGGTGGGAAAACGTTGGGAAAACGTTGGGAAAACGTTGGGAAAACATTGGGAAAACGGTGGGAAAACGTTGGGAAAACGTTGGGAAAACGTTGGGAAAACGTTGGGAAAACGTTGGGAAAACGTTGGGAAACCGTTGGGAAAACGTTGGGAGAAACGTTGGGAAAACGTTGGGAAAACGTTGGGAAAACGGTGGGAAAACGGTGGGAAAACGTTGGGAAACCGTTGGGAAACCGTTGGGAAAACGTTGGGAAAACGTTGGGAAAACGGTGGGAAAACGTTGGGAAAACGTTGGGAAAACGTTGGGAAAACGTTGGGAAAACGTTGGGAAAACGTTGGGAAAACGTTGGGAAAACGGTGGGAAAACGGTGGGAAAAACGTTGGGAAAAAACGTTGGGAAAAACGTTGGGAAAACGTTGGGAAAACGTTGGGAAACGGTGGGAAAACGGTGGGAAAACGTTGGGAAAACGGTGGGAAAACGTTGGGAAAACGTTGGGAAAACGTTGGGAAGACGTTGGGAAAACGTTGGGAAAACGTTGGGAAAACGTTGGGAAAACGTTGGGAAAACGTTGGGAAAACGTTGGGAAAACGTTGGGAAAACGTTGGGAAAACGTTGGGAAAACGTTGGGAGAACGTTGGGAGAACGTTGGGAGAACGTTAGGAGAACGTTGGGAACACGTTGGGAACACGTTGGGAACACGTTGGGAACACGTTGGGAAAACGTTGGGAAAACGTTGGGAAAACGTTGGGAAAACGTTGGGAAAACGTTGGGAAAACGTTGGGAAAACGTTGGGAAAACGTTGGGAAAACGTTGGGAAAACGTCACTGCTGTCACTGCTGTCTTTCTCAGGTCTGTTGTAGGCTTGGTCTGCAAAAGATTCTTGCTGCTGAAGAGCAAGAGGAGGAGGCAGATTGGGCCACAAGCATGACAGAGATGTTTGTTTTTCACTCATCCCGGGATCATTAATTAAACTATCCACCAACATTGCAGGAGATGCTGCTATGCCATGTGGGTGTGTCTGAAAACAAGTTTCCCAAACATTATCCAGTTGTCTATCATTTTTCTACCTGTAAAAATGGCCATACTTTGGGGGTAAAAATCATCCTCCATTTCAGACAAACTCAACTATCGGATATTGTTGTATGTTGATTATATTTGTATACATGTATATAGACATACATACAGACATACAGACAGACAGACAGACAGACATACATACATACATACATAATTTGATTCAATTCAATATTCCATTTAATATCTTCATTGTAAATGTGCGTGCCCAAAGTTTTGTTGATCCGGTTCGGTTTCATCGCCAGGACATTGAAATGGGCTCCTGTAGTCCAAGCTCCCCGAGCTCCGATGGTTCGTTGGAAGCCCAGCTGTTGGTGTAGCGGGACATGGCCGGACGCAGCAACGATCTTGGAACATAGAATTGGATGATGGGAAAATTTACAGGAAAGAACTATATTTCATGGTAAAAACCATGGTTTCCTGTAGATTTTCCCTTAAACCAATCCATTGATTGGAACATGACTCTTGCAGGTTAACTACGCCCAGATGCTTGGCTGGAGCCAATATTTTCCTTCACTCCGAGTACAAGTTGTGAACAATCGCAACTCTCACGGACACAGCTCTGCTTTGGGCCTCTAGGTCGGCCTGTTGAATATGAAATCTGGAATGGACCAGTTGTGCATCATCAAGAAATGTGAATAAAAGCTTCAGGATGGTGAAATGCAGAGCCCAACAAAGTTTGCACAGCTATGCTAGAAGCCATGCCGGCAAAGTGTCGCTATTCCAGGGACTTCAATTCAGTGATCAACAGAGCCAAGTTACGCTGACAGGGAAGAACACATCCTGGCAGCCAGCCGGTACTGCTGGGTGACTAAGGAAGTAATCGATTTCACCTGGCTCCCAAGCAGACAGACAGGTGCACGCCAGTGAGTGTTCGAGATTCTCCAAGATCATCTATTAAAAAAAACTGTTTTCCACCACTGGTTCTACAGCAGGACACACTTGCAGAATAGGATTCAAGCTAAGTGCGATGTCTAGATCTTGTCACATAGATCTGACTGCAAAAAGCGCAAATCCGAAGGGCTGGGACACAGTCAGTGGTCTACGTGCAACATCCTCCCCTTGCAGATGGCAACTCAGCTCGGATTTGGCTTCAAGGCTTCATTGGTCGTCAGTTTAAGTCGCAGATGTTTGAAACACCGTACATATTTTTACATATTAGGATGCTCTACAACCACAGGGGCGATTCAAATGGGTACTGAATGTAGTCGCTGAGAACTCCTGAATTTTGGATGTTCTTGGATATTTGTGTTACTTTATACCTTCCCTTTTTTCGGTATGGAACTTATTTCGATCATTTTCGAGCCATAGATCCATGCCCAAATCTTGATTCTTTTCCATGCCCAAATCCCTAGTCCTCAGTGATGCTAGATGCATCCTGCCCAGGTCTGGTCAAGAAACTGAATCAGCTCCTACCTTAGTCTTGGACTGCTTGTGTTGGGGGGGCCATGTTGATACACTCTGAATAGTCAGCTTGCAGATTAAGCGTCGGTCGTTTCTTGCGCTGTCACTGAGAATATCCAAATGCCATGTTGACAAGTTTGATCAGAGTTGCAGTTGTTGGTCCAATGTCCCTGAAGCTTTTACATACACAATCTCCAACTATAGAAATTAAGAACCTCGCATCTTCTCCGGGTCTCTTTATTTTCAGACCTCACATCACCGCTTTCGCAGTGAAAGAACATTTGTTTCTGGTAAAAGGCACGTAGCGGATGTGTTTCAACCTCCACTTGACCGGGCCTTGCTGTAAAATGCTGTGAGGTTTTAGATATGCAGAGTTGTGAGGGAGCTCAAAAGGAGCTCAAGGCTCCTCACTCCGGAGTCACTGAACATTCCTCCAATACTCCATTTGTAATTGAAGACAATTCAGGAGATCCATGGAATCCAAGTCAAAGCTGTGGATCGATGCATTCCAGTCTTTCTCGCAATCTCATCAATGTATCAGTCAAGCAACTGCTGAAACAAGCTCTTTCCCTTCAATGTGAACAGAGATGCTGAGCTGCCATCAAGCTCAGATTCTGCTTTTGCCTGCCACTGAGCAGGACAATACTTTTCAATCATTCCTCTAGTTATTATAGTTGGGTATGTCCAAACACGGGGGAGCCCTCTTCATCGATGAGAGAAATATTGCTTTGTCTGAAAACATAGTACCCCTTAAATCCCTAAATCCATTGTTAAGATGGCCATTTCGGGGTATACACCATTCTCAGACACAATGGACACACTGATGCTCTCCATTTTTGGACCCCCCAAACCTTTGTGCTGTCTCAGCTCTTCCCAAAGACGTTGGGAGAGCTTCGTGGCCGCCTGGGAGAGCACCGAAACCTCTCCAGTCCGCCGCGCCCAAATCCTGTGGAAAAGTGCAGAAGTTTCTGAGGGCTGAATAGTGCCGAATAGTGGAGACCTTGCGGTTCTTGTTCATGTTTTAACATATTTTTGCAGGCATTGTGATTGAGACTGAGTGACTGAGTACCTGCCTTAGGAACACTATTTGCATACGAGGTTCATTGGTTTTAGAGTCTTAGAGTTGTAGTTTTTCTCTCAACTCCACAGTGTCCAGGTCTGCCTCAGATCCTTCTGCGCGAGATCTATGTGCTGGGGTCTTTGATTTTACGATGCTTTCAATTATATTATTATGACCACTCTTTATAGGTGGGATTTGGTGGCGTTGAGACAACTTGGACGTGGGCCGTTCTTGTGTGTTCTGAGTAACAATCGGTAAATATGCAAGGTAGTCATGTCATAAGCCATAAGCAGAACGGCTTTGGCTCGGACAGGGGCACATCAATTTATGTTGGGACAGAGTTGAGTTTGGAAATTGAAACCATGGTACTAATCCATACATCAAACTTTCAGAATCAATATGTGTTTCTCAACACAGTTACCTCTCTCGATAAGGACTGCTAGTAGCAGTTGGTAGCATGAACTCCGCATACACTGGAAATGCGTGCATCAAAGATATCAAAGCTCCGAGGTTGCTGCTGTCACGGACTTGGTGCTGAAGAAGCTCAAAGTAGCTGCAGGTTCTGCAGCTGGGTCAGCTGTTGGTTTTCCTCTTGAACTTTTGGTTTGCCTTGTTTGCATTTGCAAGATTTGCAAGGCCACTTCTATTTGCAGAGCCCTTTGCCCTTGATCAACTCTTGAAAGTGACGAAAGTGACCAATTCTAGCTGCGAGGTCGACAGGATGGAGAGAGACAGGCGATTGGTGTAGCGATTGGTGTAGCTGCAGATGGTTATGGGAATTCCAATTGAGAAGATGACAACTTACAACTGGGGGCCTTGAGACAGGATTAAGCCTGGAACATTGGATGCTGTGGTTCCCAGATACAGTTTGACATAGTTTGACCAAATGATCAGAGCCAAAGGTGGAGGAAAGTGATATTGGGCAGACCATTGGCTGTGTGCTATTTGGCCCTGGGCTGAGTTTCTCATATTGCAGGCTACCTGGGTGGGTTGAAGTTTCCATAGGGCTGGCCTTATGAATGAATCTGGCAACCTAAGGTCATCATAGCATTCCTTCAAGTCTTTTTGGTCAAGCCGGTTTGTGTATTTAACTTGTGTTGACATGTGTAATGACTTTCAAGATTCCAATTTGCTCATAGCTCCTGGTAGAATTGTGTCTACACTTTCCAATGAATGCTGAGTGCCTCGGACTTGCAAGGTCAAAAGAGCCACATTTCAGAACTGTTTCGCGTAGCTCGTGCGTATGCAAGGCAGGCTTTGGTGAATTGCTTCTGTTGCGACTTATGTTGATCTAATTGGACAGTCGAGTATATATACACATATTCACCCAAGTGATGGAGAATGATGGATCGCTGGTATGGCTCAAAATTGTCAGCACTCCATATGGATATCCTATACAACTATGTAAACTTATATGTAAACTTATACCCCCAACAATGGATTGGTCTGTTGATGAACTGATCAACGTTATCGAACTGAAAACTATAGACTATAGTTATTCATTCTGGGGCTATACGATTAAGTAGTGTCAAGCGCTAGAATTACTTAACTTTGCCACTGTTGATCTATTATAATCATCCATCAGGGGAGCTAATGACATCCAATAAAAACGAATGTTAAACAATGATGTTTTGTCTAATGATGTTAATGCACATGGTAATTAAGTTCATTGAGATTTAGTTAACAACCAATTAACTATCATCTATCAACAGCTAGGCTCCATGCTGACACCTCGGAGACGGAGTCAGAATCCTTGGAGGAACTGAGAGAATTGGCGTGACGTCCCAGTGGGTTTTGGGGAGTAACCCTCAAGAAGTGTAAATCATGGTGGATTAACATGGCTTAACATGGATTAACCATGAACAGTGGAAAAAATGATAAAAGATGATGGATTACAATTAGCCGATTTGCCGATGAAAAATAGGGAGTCAACCATGAATCACCAACGAGTACTGGACATAGCAGATGGCCACTGGGTTTTTTTGGGCACTGCTGGCTGATTCAATCATAAACAATGATAATTGGCGGAATCTGCACTAGGAAGTGGCACAAGACGTACATATTTGGAATCTATTTCAGGGTGCATTGCGCAATGGCAATAATCATCGGGGTGTCAAAATGATCGCCCAAAAATGGGTTTCAGTGCTATCACCATTTCCCAAAATGGTAACCTCTATAAATTCTAGACCATATTCTGTAACCCTGGTCAGTAAAATTTAGACTGCTATAAAATTTTACTGACCAGGGTTACAGAATATGGTCTGGTAACCCTGGGTGCTATAAAATTTTGGTCAATTTCCAACACCCAACGACCAAACTGCCGAGGTGCCCAAACTGCCTTTGGAGCTGGTTCCCGATGCTTGGGTCGTCTCCGAGCAGCTCCAACAGGCGACTTGGGTTGCCAATATATTGGGGGATGGTCATTAGTCCATTTTCAAAGATATATATATATATAGACATTGATATATATATATATAGACATTGATATATATATATATAGACATTGATATATATATATATATAGACATTGATATATATATATATATAGACATTGATATATATATAGATTGATATAGATATAGATTCCCCTACTACATACTGTATGTACATATATATATATGTAATATTCTTATATCCCATGATGTTTGGAATTCCCTTCTGGGGGATGGATGACCATACCCACATATGAGTCTGTATATGATGATACCAAAACTTGAAGAACCAATGAACCAAACATGGCGGCATATGTATGTAGATAAGTCGCTGCGGGTAGGTGTTACACAGGTTTGTTTGGTTTAATGGCTAACCGCTAGCATTTTTTTGCCTGGCAATGGGCACTGCCAACTTTCAATAAGTAAAGCGTCTACTGTTTTGGTGGATTTTCCGGTCGATCCCATGGTTGATCATCGTTTTCTGCATTCAAACATGTCAATTTCATGGCATTTTGTAGCCTTTGATGGGCCTTTGATCGTTTTAAGTGGGGAACGCTATGATACACCCATGATTCAACCATTCAAACATCAGCTCAGAGGCAGTTCTTGGAGCTGCCACCAGCTGCGGATTACAAGGCGCGGCTGGTTGAGCTGGTTGAGCTGGTGGAGTCTTTTTCTGCGCTTCTGTCAGGTTCAATGGAACTCTTTTCTTGATACATTGAGAAAATCATCTTCGCATCAACAATGGAAAGTGATTGGAGGGATTGCGAGCAGCTAGGTGTTGCCAACGAAGTGCTTAATGACTACAATGAGGTGCGAAGTGGTTGCTGGTCTTTCTGACATGTGACATTTGGGTCGGGTTGTGGGTTCCAATTTCAGTGAAACAAGATTTTTCGGCTCCCATCGCAGAAAGTATCAGGTTTGAAACCCACTGGTGACCCCACTGGTAACCTTGGGAAGGACAGCTCACCCTCAGCAATGATCTCCAAATGCCTTGGAAGACTCTCAGCATATCACAGGACCATGCAGCTTGTCGCCCATGATTTCTTGGTTTGGGATGAATGTAAAGTAATGTAAACCTCCAAGATCAAGTCTGCTAGGTCTCACTGAATCTGATGATATTTGAGAGATTATTGGTTGCGGTTAGATGCGGTTAGTAATTAGCAAAGGGTTTCCTGCACATAGGGAAACCAGGGAGACTGGTCAGCGTAGGAGCTGCGGTGTGCCTGGTCTGGTGCCCCTTGCCATCTCGGTCGCTCGCTGAATGCGTGGCAGGTCGAAGTGGGAAGCGAAGTTGTGATGTGGGAAGCAGGGCAATTTACAAAGAGGGAGTGTTAAATAGTGTCCATATCGGTGTACAAATATCATATGTATATGACTGTATATGTATAATATGTATATGTATAATATGAGTATATGTCTAATATGCATAATATGTATAAGATGTATAATATGCATAAGATGTATAAGATGCATAATATGCATAAGATGTATAAGATGTATAATATGTATAATATGTACAATATGTATCAGATGTGTAATATGTACAATACAATAATATGTATAGTATGTACAATATGTATGATATGTGTATATACATATGTATATCTGAATACAGATAAGTAGATATGACCAAGTCTACATGAAAACATCCGAGTGGTGGGATAGAGCTTGAGGATCCAAGAAGCGTCACATGATCCTTTGCATCTGAGGGATGGTGTTCGCAGTGGCTGTCCAGCAACCAGAGCGCGATAAAAATGCAGGACGGGGCGTACCAGAAGGTGGCAGTGTTTTGCATGGCCAAAGTCCATCAAGTTCTAGTGAAGTTTCAGCTCTCTATTAGAAACATAAATCTACTAAAAGAGTGACAAATTACTTTCTACATTCTTGGGGTTCCAACAATGCTTCTGGGATAATGCAAGTAAGACAAGCCCCTTGACCTTCAAGCTGTTGAAGCCTATTTCAGACTGCATATGTGCGAAGCCAAGTGTCCAGGATTTACCAGAGTACGACCTGGATGATGAGGACCGAATCTGGCAGACACATTTCTTCCTTGAGATGTTGTGTTTTGCCAGGAGCAGATGGAGGGTCCTCCGGCCATCACAAGTGAGCTGCTGACCCTGGGCCAAATAATGGAAACCCTCCCATCCAAAATAGACGGCGCTTCTCATTGCAGGAGCAATATGGACGTATCCCAAGACTTGGGCTCCCACACCTACTGTACACAGACATAAATAGATAAATAAACAAATAAAAAGATAAATAAATGAATAAAAGAAAAACACACATATATATATATGTGTGTGTATACCCATACAGATATAGATATAGGTTCACTTTGGTCTCCCGCTGCAAATCCCCGATGTTTGGGACCTTGGCCCATTTTTGTTGGACCCAATCTGCCAAGGGCTAAAGTGGCCGAGCTGCTTCCCAGCTGCTGGGGAGACGAAGTCGCTGTGCCTGCTGAGTTGCTGGACCTTGACGTGGCTCGTCCAAGTTGGAGGTGGAGGATGGGAGTTGGAGAAAGTGAAAAGAGTGGAAAAGTTGGAAACGTTGGAACAGTTTTCTCAATCTTTTCATACTTTGGAAGTTGTGAGACATCTCAATCTCTTCAAGCTCACAGAGACTCGTGGCCCAGGCATTTGAGCACTTGAAATGGCGGAGTCGTTTGACGCTGCTTGCAGCCCAAGAGCCCCATGCTGATGTCGTGGCAACTTGGTCTGCTTGGATCGCTTTAGAGAATGAGGATGAATAAGGTACAGCGCCAAAAAGATCTGTACAAGGTGGTGCCCCCTAGATAGCTAAGTTGGTTTATAACTCCAATAACTATGGTTTATAGGTGATATATCTATAGTTAATGGGATTATAAACCAACTTATAACTGGGGGGCACCACCTTGTAGGATGTTGACCAGGAGTTGGAGCGCTCATGTGCAATATCTTGCCTGTAACGTCAATGATTGGGATACCCGGATACCCAAAAAACCCTCCCACCCGACTGCAGATGCCAACTAAGCCAAGGCTTTGCTTCGGGAGCTCCAGTCAGACGCAAAATCAGCAGATCCTGATGGAATGGATTGGAAGGGAAACAGGTAAACTCATCAGCTTTTTGAACCTTAGCTGTAACTTGGCGTGACTTTGTTTGCCAGTCTCCAAGTGTCTTCATGATTTGCTTATCATGTGATCCTTTCTTGGCAAGTGACAACTGTTCTGCCATTTCTTGGCTCACAGGAATGATTTACCACATTGGCATGGGCAGTATACAACAACGCTGCAATTACTGTGTGAATTGGCCACTGTGGCTAAGATAGTAAGAGTTGCTAACAGTTGCAAACAGAAAAATTGCATCCAACGGAGAGCTTGGAGCCAAAATTGGCCAAATTGACAAACTGACCCTTGGCACTTCCCAAGTTCAATGCCTAGCCATCATGGCTACCGCAGTTCTATGCTCAGCTGCAATCTGTTGGGGAAGCATTGATTGAGCATGAGTGAGCACGCCTTGGTGATGTCAAGTGATTTCTTTAAGGTACTAATGTCTTGTGATCCGAAGACAAATTGCTTAGCTGCGGTTGTGGTTGTGGTCGTGGTGGTGGTTGTGGTTGTGGTCGTGGTCGTGGTTGTGGTTGTTGTGGTTGTGATTGTTGTGGTTGTGGTTGTTGTGGTTGTGGTTGTTGTGGTTGTTGTGGTTGTTGTGGTTGTTGTTGTTGCTGCTGTTTGCACTCATAATATACTATCATTTGACAAGAAGTGAATGTGCTTCAGGTCTGGAAGAGCACGACCAAGCCGATGTTGAGGATTGAATGGTTTGGCTGGAGATTGGGTGATTGAAAAACACGTTTTCGCATAGGGTAATCCGATTTTAGGAGCAAGAATGATCACTTTTTGGATTCACTCTCTAATTCATCAACATATTTCCAGGGTTGACAGATCTCATTTCAGGCGCATCTTCTGGACTGTCGTGAAGGGCTCAGCTTCGGAAGGCCCTGGCCTAGATTTGAAAACGTCAAAGTTTTCTTGGGCACCAGGGAATAGCATATGTCGAATTCGAGTTGACACACTCCCATAAGGTTGACAAAGTCCCAAAAATCCCAGTGATCACAATATTTGCACCCAGTAATGCCAGGAATTCTGGCAAGATTGGGCTCTGGGCTTTGCCAAGGTGTACCTTCTGAGCGCAGCAACAGCACAGGGCCTAGCAGAAGGGTGAGGATTCTGACATGTCGAGCCCGGGAAATCTGAATTTGACCCAGAACATCCCAGAACTACCTTGAACGGTGTGCATCAATTTCGTGTGGGCCCATCATGTTGTAGCAATTGTTCCTTCTTGGAGGACACACTCGACCTTCCCTCAATCCGTATTTTGCAGCCTGGTACTTCAGGCGCAACTCTAGAAGTTGCCAGAGAGGAAGAAGCAACTAGTTGGAAACCCAGAGAGTCTTGCTTTTAGTCAAACCATCTTTTTCGAAAGTCATTTCTACGGTTGCGAGAAGATTCAAACTTGGATTCAAAGCTGCCAAGATTAGTCATTCATCTTTGCAAGGTTCGGTGAGGTCCAATCTTAGACAGCGAACGTAGCCGACGAGTGCAACCACTCAGGTCCACATAGCCAATGGGGCAGACCACATTTGCTGTTCTTAGGCCGGTCGGAAGAAATTGTTGCTGTCCCCTATTATATGCCGAGTTACTCCTGTGTTACTACAATGTGGTTCAGAGAGAAGTTATGCCAGCTGCCAAACCAAAGTTGATATTGAACAGCTGGCTTGCAGACCCTAATCCACTGTAGGAATAGGTGCAGATACTCAAAGATACTCAAAGATAGTCAAAGATAGCAATCTTCAGAATCCATCAGTAGTAGGTCTTGTACTCAGTGGCTTTTTGGGACTGCAGGCAGCCTGTTCCTTTTCGCTATGGCCTTGATTCCAAGGTGGGCGTAGGGATCTCAACACATTGCAATCATCAGAACAGCAGCTGCCTTGGGTACCAGGATACCTGGTTTTCCTCGTCACTCTGTCTGGCGCCCAGTGCTAAAAGCAAAAACCATCGCGCAGTGCTGACGGTCCATCCTGGGTGGAGTCATTTGCACGAACATACCTTTGGCCTTTGGCCCATTGGATTCTGTATTGCAGAAGAGACCTTGCAAAGTATACCAGGTATGCAGGGTACAGAAGACCACCCACAAGCTTTTTACTGTCTGCAAAATCAGGTGCAGACTGGGCATATGACAGATCTTTGGGACGAGGCTTGTTCGCTGCCAATATCAGGTTGGCAGTGGCTGCATTGGTCGTTTTTTTTTTTGAAAGTGGTATTTTGTCCACCTTAGCCCTGAGAAAGTTTTGCCCCAGCTTAGACTTTGGTGTGTGTGGAGTAAAAGAATTTTCCGCAGGAAAGTATCAAAAGGTAGAGAGCCGACTCAAAATTCTCAGCCTTTTTGGCAGTATCAACATGGCTTTGCAAGATGAATTTCTGAGTGACTCCTTTCAGTGTCCTCTTTGGCAAAAGCAATGCATTCATATTCAACTCAAGGACTTTGAGCCGGTCAGATGGCGCCTAAGGCAATTATCCAATCGCAGCACAAAACCCAGGACTCCGGTGATGGCATGTTGTTTAGCGAGTTACACTGCACGGTTTGCTTATCAAGGGGGATATGGCCCTCAGTTACCAGTTACGAACTGCCATCACTTCGCCCTTAGGAGAAGTCCTCCTGTGGACACTATGGATGTGGACAGTCAGGGTTGCGGCTGGGAACCTGTGGCTGTGATGACAGTTGCCTGGGTTCTCAGTGTTCAGAGCCAGGTTTGACGTGCTGAATCCGCGCCTTCCGCGACCTTCCGTGACGGCTGAGGCATGGCGGATGGAAGCTGCTGCTATGACTACCAGCAGCTTTGCAAGGCTAGAGCCGCTAGAGTCGCTAGAGCCGCTAGAGCCGGAAGGTTAGGAGAAATTGGGGGTACACAACAGGCAAGTTCTGGACGCCCCCCAATCCAGTGCCATGGTGCTGCATTGTTGATGGAAGCCTTCCATTTCATCGATGTGAAAAAACATGTTCGCTACATCAGGTTCAAATCCGGGGGGTTCCACCAGGTTTCATACCCAGAATATGCACGTGACACGCCAGTCTGCCAGGTCAGTTCGGCTGAAAGCTCCAAAGATAAGGTGCGGAAGAGCTGTGGAAGCTGTGAACAATGGATGTTTACGAGCAATTTGAAGAAAGTTGTGAAGGTTCTTGCAGATCTCAAGGCCCCCTAAGCACATTAGGTATCTACTTTTGAGATACCTTGGACTTGCAGGGCAAAGTCGGACGATGTGCAACTTACGGATGTTCCAAAGCCTATCGCTACGATCATTCGTTGATGCCTGAGCATGCCTGAGCGACAAGTTTGAATCCAGCGAGGGATCTCTGCAGCCCCAAATCCCTGCTGTCAGAGGCCATGCGAGCCAGTCGCCAACCCATGGTGTCGCTCCTTCCGAGGTGTCAATGTGTTCCCAGTTGCAAAGACTTTGGCGATTGCTGTCCCGACTACACGTCGCACTGCGGGGCCTGAAACTTAGATTACCCGATTATATGATATTATATGCATATGGCAATGTCCAAGAATGTGAGGTGGATAACCTAATCATCCCTGATCAATGGGTTTCCCAAGGAAAAATCTTGGATCTTGGGTTCCCAACTCTTGGACCACAGGCCAACCAGTCCCGTGCTTCTGAGAGGGCACCAAAGAAAAATGAGGACTGTGCCTTTTTGCCTTTGAACTAGTGCTTCAATTTCAACACAGCTATGGATTTCATCAATTTTGCATAATTTTGCAGGAGCCAAAAGTGAAAGCCGCTTTTGTACCTCAAGCATATGCAGGGGGCTTGGGAAGTTGTGATCAGGAAAAGGGACAAGGTTTACTGTTCCCTAAGACATCAAAGTCTAGTGTTACTTATTCACTGCTCATTTGCTGCGCAAGGATGTTGCCGGTGCATCTGTATTTTGTGCATATCAATGAAGGGCGGTGGGCACTAAAGTGTGCCTGAAGGAGCGCTTTTTCATCTCCTGTCCTGTAAAGTCCATTCCCATGAGTTGCTGCTAGACCCCGGCGCTCCCCCTTCCTGGAGTGTTGGTTTTTCAACAAAATCTTCCTTCAAAGGTCATAGTCCGCTTTCTTGCCTTCAACTATGTTTCCATGGCTTCCGCTGTAGGTGTCCGCAGGATCGAAAAAGAAGCATAAGGCTGGGATAGTGCTGGGCTTCAGAGGGCTTCTCAAACGATGTCGAAACCAAAACCTGCACCGATAAACCCCCAGAATCAACAAGGGCTTGCTTTGAGACAACCACCAGCTGATACTACCAGCTCATTCAGCATGAATTCGAGATCATCCATGTTTTGAGGTAATAGCACAGAAGGGTCACTACCCTGGAAAGCTATATTATGACCCCCAAGAATAGCTTCGGACGATAATTCTTGTACTTGAAAGGGCTGGACATATAATTTCTAGCAGTGTAACCCAGAAATTGTTGAAAGTCATAGCATCACCATCTTCATATTATGGCTCTTTGTGAAAACGGGGGCTTAAGAGGCCACTTTGTGCCACTTGTTTCGGTGGCGGGAAGTCCTTCGCACGAGTTTTCTGCAGGCATTTGCGAAGGATCGCGAAGCAAGCATTCAACTTATGCGATGGCAGGTGGAGATGGGAATTAGGTCCAAGGCGTCCAAGCCCTGATGGGGAAGATGCTGACATAGCGTGCCATTTACGAGAAAACCCCAGAGGGTTGTCAGCAAACAATCATACGCATTTTGTCGTGTGGCGATGAACTATTAGCATGGGGGTTGATGATGAATCAACCAACGACAACATCGACAACAACAACAGCAACAACAACGACAACAACAACAACAACAACAACAACAGCAACAACGTACTAGTACTACTCGTACTACTCGTACTACTAGTACTACTCGTACTACTAGTGATACTAGTACTACTAGTACTACCAGTACTACCAGTACTACCAGTACTACCAGTACTACCAGTACTACCAGTACTACCAGTACTACCAGTACTACCAGTACTACCAGTACTACCAGTACTGCCTGTACTACCGGTACTACCAGTACGACCACCACCACCACCACCACCACCACCACCACCACGACGACGACGACGACGACGACGACGAAGACGACGAGGACGAGGACGAGGACGAGGACGAGGACGAGGACGAGGACGAGGACGAGGACGAGGACGAGGACGAGGACGAGGACGAGGACGAGGACGACTACCACTACGACTACCACTACCACCACCACTACCACCACCACTACCACCACCACTACCACCACCACTACCACCACCACTACCACCACCACCACTACCACCACCACTACCACCGCCACTACCACCACCACCACCACTACCACCACCACTACCACCACCACTACCACCACCACTACCACCACCACTACCACCACCACTACCGCCACTGCCACTGCCACTGCTACTGCTACTGCTACTACTACTGCTACTACTGCTACTACTGCTACTACTGCTACTACTCCTACTACTACTACTACTACCACTACGTCCTCTTCCTATGGTCTGGAATATGCTCGGCAATGATACTGCTGGAGGAGTACTTCCGGATCTCCTCCGTCAAACAAAGCACTCGCATTCTTCTGCCCTGATCTAGGTCTCAATTCTCAGTCTGCGAGTAGGACATGCTTTGGCTGTTTCCAGGATAATGAATTTGATCAGACTCCTTACTGGTTCCTTTTAATACTACTACCACTACCACTACCACTACCACTACGACTACGACTACGACTACTGCTACTGCTACTGCTGCTGCTGCTACTGCTACTGCTAGTGCTAGTGCTAGTGCTACTGCTCTGCTACTGCTGCTGCTGCTACTGCTACTGCTACTGCTACTGCTACTACTACTACTACTAGTACTACTACTACTACTACTACTAGTAGTAGGGATGGCTCAAGACCTATCATTTTTGGGGAAGAACCACCCATTTGCACGGTATTTTAGTGCTCGCCAGGGCAACAGGGTTTTGAGCCAAATAATACAAGAAAATCTGTTTCTGAGAAGTTGACATGTGTATGTGAACTTTGGCACTTTCAGGCAGTGCGAAGCTGCCCTCCCCAGTTTCTGGACAAGACCATTTTGGCGGGGAAACAGATCGCCAAGGCCGCTGGTTGGTCCATTGTTATGTCAAAGCCGTCAGGTGGTCGCTGTTTGACATGATTCTGCCTAGGGAAATCATGCGTCATGCGTGTCAGGAGTGTCATGAGTGTCATGTGTGGAGGCCTTTCACCTTCGGGTCCAGACATTTGTCTGTACTTGTCTTCATTCTGGGCTGCAATTGTAGATTAAGTATTATTTTCCTGATTGGGTTAATAGGTTATCACCCCCATCACTTTTTGGGTAATAGCCCACATCCATTGTTCGGGAGGATCACTGATCTTTCGCGCCTTTCCCGTTGTAAACCTGCGCTGCCCGCTGCCAGTTGTCACAGATCTCCACTGCAGCTGATTGCCAGAAGGCGGAACCGAGGGGAACCCCTACTGCTGGGATGCAAAGCTGGGTTAATGGTACCTAGATAGGAAAAGGTTGCAGGTTGAACCGTTGTAGCCACTGTTTTGACAGAGTTTCAGTTTTCTTTGGATTCAAAAACTCTACATAGGGTGCTTCTTTCCATGAACTCAGTGCCACCAGATGTGCAAACCTCCAACAGGCTTGCACTGATCACGGCACTACATGCGATGGATTCGTTTGGGAGATGAGCGGCAACTTACCTGACCATGGCGACAGGAAGCGAGAAGTGAGATTCGGAAACTCTATTGCAGACCTCAGCAATTCACTTCCAACATGCAGGTACATGCATAAGACATAGACAATATGAACTTGCTCCATATTTGGTACCACCACCCTTGGCTTTCCCAGAAGATGCCAATTTGCATCCTGTTGTGGCTTCCATCTCAGGCACCTGTGTGCTGTCGGACCTGAAAAATGTCCGGCTTGGCATGTTTGTAGACACCCTGGGGACATGGTCCATCATGATGGGCCGTTTCTTGGGCTTCGACAGCCATTCTTATGGGATGTATGCTAGTTTATGCTAGCGGGTGGAAAACAGCGTGTGTCGTCGTGCAACTTTTTGAATATGGGGGTTGGGTGGGGTGGGGTGGGGTGGGATATTAACGTTCATGTACCTTGCGTACATACGTGGATGCTACGCTGTTGCTACGTCACTGGTCATGGGTTGGGTGGTGTGGGGTGTTAACGTTCATGTACCTTGCGTACATGCGTGGATGCTACGCTGTTGCTACGTCACTGGTCATGGGTTGGGTGGGGTGGGGTGGGATATTAACGTTCATGTACCTTGCGTACATACGTGGATGCTACGCTGTTGCTACGTCACTGGTCATGGGTTGGGTGAGGTGGGGTGGGATATTAACTTTCATGTACCTTGCGTACATACGTGGATGCTACGCTGTTGCTACGTCACTGGTTGGGTGGTATATTAATGTGGGACAGCGATGTATACACTATAGATACACACTGGTTGGGTGGTATATTAATGTGGGACAGCGATGTGTACACTTTAGATACATATACATATATATATACACATATATATATATCTCTATACATTATATATATATGATATTTATGACTTGGGAGTCGCAGCAGCTTCCAAGTCTGGAAAGCCTCCACCTGAGAGTGCCCCGCGCATTCGTGCCACTGGTGCTTTGCAATGTGTGCAACCGACCCACAAACGTGGGCGCAAAAGCATCTTGGTAACAGACGGTGCCCCATGCTACCCTAAACTGACCTCTGAACACAGTCTGCTTCATGAAGCTTGCAATCATAGTAAGGGCATCTTCTGCATCACCAAGAAAAAGGAATGGGGAAACTTGCTGGTGCACACCGGTGGCATCGATGGAATGTGGAAGATTTCCAAAGGTGCAGTATCATCCTCTTGGAGCACACGTAAAGATGGTGTTGTGAACCCTCAATTGCTTCAAGGAATAAGGGTTTGGCAATGGCGATGGCACCATGGAAATTCCACTGACTTCCTTAGTCTCACAGGCAAAGCTCTGAGCAAATGCTTGGAGAAGTGACATGCCACCGAAGACCAAGAAAAAAGGTTCCAGGCCGCCACAACCACAAAACCCTGTAAATACCACGACATTCCTTCAAAGTCATTCAATTTTGACCGGCAAAATTTAAGGTAATGTTCATCATAAAATGTGTACGGCGCCACAGCGCCAGAAGAGTTTCTTTTCAAAAAGTGCTTAACCGCTAGCGCGGTTTCCCACCCGCCGGGTAGTTTATGAATGCTTTGTTATGATGATCAACATATTATTTCAAGCCATACCATCCTCTGTGTCCTACATGAAGAAACGGGGATGAGTCAAAACCTCTATAAAACAATTCAGTGGATACAGCTGGGGGAATGGACAGCCATCAATCAAGCTATCCTATTGCCAGTCGCGACTCGCTTCTTTGGCCAGGATCTTCCAATGATGGTGATCCAGGCAGGGCAGTGAAAACACCAAAGCAATCGGAAAAACTGGATATGGATATGGTAAACCTGATATATATCTGACTGTATACAGTACAAATTAATGTAATGTAATGAAATGTAGTGTAGTGTAGTGTAATGTAACGCAACGTAACGTAACATAATGTAATGTAATGTAGGGTATGGTATGGCATTGTATGGTGTGGTATGTATGCAATGTGTATAATATATATATATATATATATAGACACACACACACGCAATTAATATATTAATATATTTGGATATATATATACATACATATATATATATATCTTATATCTGGATATAGATGGTTTCGAAAGTTAATGATCTGTATTCACCCTAATAGCCGCATCATCAGCGTTCGGCCAAGTTGGAGTAGACCAGTGGCTCCGACCAGGAAGGCTTGATTGCGGGCATGCCGTGCTGTCGTCCTGGCGTCAAGCACAATGAGTCACAGGTCGGGGGCTGCGATGCAGTTTTGTTGGTAAAATCTGGTTGCTTGATAGGGTTCCCATGGGTTCCCATGGGTTCCCATGGGTTCCCATGGGTTCCCATGGGTTCCCATGGGTTCCCATATTGGAATATATTGGAATTCAATCAGAATTAGATTCTGGATGAGTGCTCCATGACATCTTTTTATGTGGACCTGGAGTCCATCAAATTGTTTGGAACGTGGCACCGCTCTTCCGAGCCCAGGTGCTCAGGGATTGTCCTGAGAATGCGCTGGACACAGACATCACAACAAATGCAGGCTGCTGTGGGCTGGCTGCTGTCGGCTGGTCCAGGGTGTTGGGACCAGATGGATTTCCTGAAACGAAACTGCTGCATGTCTTCGCAGATGTCAACGGCTTCTACTTATCTCCGTACTACATGGGCCTGCCGGCACACTTAGCAGGATGAGATGTTTTGTCATCATTTCCTACCCTATAGCTTGACAGGTTTCTAATGGTTTTTGGTCAAAGATGGATTCTACAAATGATAAGCAAAGCAGCAGAGTCTCCCACATTGCTGTCCTCGCTGTCCTGGCAGTGCTCAGTATGGGAGGCCTCCGCGACGTTCCAAATGTGAAGAGCGCCTACAAATGTCAGGAGGCTGGAGTCCGGCTGGAGATGAGGATGTCATTGTGGTTTGTCCAAACTGCAAGTGAGGTCTGGGTTTGACTCTGAAAGATTGCTGCTGATGGAATCAGTTTCCACTAGTTTAAGGTTTACACCTAAACCTGAGTTTCTTGGCACCGTTTGAGCAGCATTAAAGACGAGTGGACATGGGCAATGGAGTGCTGACACTTTCAATAGTTGCCTTGATATGCCTTGATGTCGACTCGCAACAAGATTGACTTTTCCATAGAGGCATCCGTATCTTGGGGTACAAGGGTTGTGAAGATTGGCCCAGTCCAAATTCAGCTTGGTTCAAGGTCAGTTGGCGATGCACAAAAGCTAACAGAATCCCAACTCCTGCAGAGCCTGGTGCGCAAGGTTTGCACAAAAACAGCAGCTTGCGGTGCTTTTTCCTGGAATCCTGGTGCTCATAGGTGCTGACAGGGAAAGAGCTGTTGGGCAAGGTTTACTATAGTTTGTTCCGGCAGGCCTACATTTTTTCTTGCAGTTTGAAGTTGGAATCAGAGTCCTGAAGTGAGATGAAGTGGATCAGATTATTGAGCAGCTCAGCTTTTTTTTACCAGGTGCAGTCTCAAACAGCTGGCACCAACAGAGACTACAAAAGTGATGGCCAAGGACAGTTGAGAAACATCGGGCAGGGCTTAGGAGTGGGGCTACAGCTACTCAGCAGGTCGTCCTAGTGCCAGCAACTGGTTCAAGGGCTCAAGGGTTCTTGTGCACTCTGGAAAAACCCACACCCTTTCATGGAAGTTAAGGTTGTGACATCCGGAAACTCGGGCACTTTCAACCTCCAAAAAATCTGGGGTGTAGCGACTCAACGCGGATGGTGAAGCATGAATAGTGACCAAATTTGTGCGTCCATTGATACCCAATCTCGGAGCCATACCTCGTGTACTACGCGGGACTCAGTGGCTGACCTTTGCATTGCCATATTTATCAGGCTGGCTTCGTGTCTGGCTTGCCATGTGGTTGTCGAGTCACTTGTCAAAAGATGCCCTTGAATTCGCGAACGTGGGGCCCGTGGGGGTGTCGGGTTTGAGGTTTTGCTATGTTTTGTTCAGTTCACCGGAACACCAACAAACGGAGGTTTCAGTAAGAAGAACGGGGATTTTTTATCAACGAAAGATGGGCACAGTAGCAAAAAACAAGAGAACGTGCGGGGAAGTTGCCGTTGAATCTGGCAAGATGAGAGTTGCTTTTTCCTCGAACCGATGCTCTTCCAGTGATCTACGTCCCAGAATCCCCCCCGATGCTTAAAACCTTGAAATGCGTCATATCACTGGAGCTTCTTCTTATCGACTCAATTGATTCCTGGAATGAACACTCAATGGATTTGTTTTGTGCGAACATTTGCAGGAAGCGATGTTTCTCACATCAAGTGACACACACACAGTTGCACATAATTTAACTATGGAACAGCACCATTTTTAACAGGTAAATCATCGAACTATACAAATGGACCATTTCCGTAGCTATGTTAAATTTCCAGAGGTTTTTTATATGGAGGGTTTTCGGTTCCCAGAATAGGATAGACAAATCTAGATTTTCCACCACTTTTTTTTTGGGAGATTTTTTTATCTTTTTTTCCTTTCAACATCTTTCAACCCTGGAAAAAACACAGCGAGGCAACTCCGGAGAATGCCCTGTGGCCCGGCAGCGACGTGGAACGCTTCACCATGCCCTTGCCCCGAGGGTCCCACGGACGTGGGATGAGGGCCTCCTGACGTGGGATGATGCAGCAACCCATTCACCCGGCAAGGGCTTTTTTTTTGTTTTAAAATAATGTTTATGCAGATGTTAATGATGTTAATGTTAATGTTTTTCTTGCGTCTGGGGAAAAAAGTGTGATAGATAGTGTTTTAAACCGTTTGATATCGTTTGATCATGTTGTGAATGGGGAAAACGCCCATTATAATATTGTGATACTGTCATGAGGAAAAGCCATGAAAAGCCATGATATTGTCACAATGTCCATCAGCTTATTGTTACTGTAGCGTGACAATCCAATTACGCCATCATTTTTCTCGCAGGCAAACCACCGCCAAGCCTGGCAGCCTCCTGTGTTTAGCACTGATGGTGCCCTACTCATACGAAGCAGGACGGAACCAGCTGGGCCGCCCACAGCTTGCTGCTTTAAGAGGAAGTCCCTGTGAAAGTTGTGCAAAGTCCAGAACGTGTTAAGTCCAGGTTTATTCTGATCATGATACTGACCACACTGACCGCAGTGCCAGAATGTGTATTCTCAGGCTCATAAGGGTGCTTGAAGGTTCTTGAGAATGCGGTATGTTTGAGCATAAGTCACCTCAGCTGACAATTCCTTTCAGTGATCTCCAGGCTTACTGGTGATGCAATACAGGCATCATGTGGGGATTTTCTCATGCGACGAGTACCAGGTCTGGCTTTCTGTGCCCGCTATTGCGAAACAGGTTTCCAGCCAGGTAGCTCCTACTTGGAAGCAGTATTGCCTGAGGGTTGATATGATGAAGTCAGCGAGCATCGCGTATGGTTTGAAAGACCCAAAATCCAACATTTCATCAATTCTTTGGCCGCAGTTCTTGAGCAGGGGAATCCCAAAGGGGATGAAAGACACTCACGGGAAGCCTGGAAAAACCTCAACAAACATTGGACATGAACAAATTTGGTCAGCTACACAAATCACACCGAGAATGCCATTCCGGCCAGGTTTGCCCACTTGAAACTCGGAACGTTCCATGGCTCGCCAGGTCTACAGCAGTCAGGCCATGGTTTTGGCACCTGGACTTGAAACTCGGAAGGCCTGGACTTGACGACTTGAATCATTAACTGACATGTGTCAGTTGGGATACATCACTGACCATCAAGTTGGATGATTTTTGAAGCCGAGATGTGAAAATGACTTGAACAGGTGTTGACCAGTCAAAAGTGCGAAGTGGGAGGAGATTTCTGAGTTTTTTCCTGCAGATGGATCTATCGCAGTGGGATGGGAGACCTTGATGTCGCATCCTGAAATTGGGCGAGTTCCTTAGTGTCTATAAGTGACATGCCCTCTGGTAAACTAACATAACTATGGAAAATCACAATTTTCAATGGGTAAATCCACTATAAATGGCCATTTTCAATAGCTATGTTAAATTACCAGAGGGTACATGATGCCCTTGGCGCAGGTTTTTCGGATGGGAGGTTACCAGAATCATTCTGCAGCCAGGAGAATTCAAGAGTGCTTTGAACCTCCGCATTTTCGCAAGCTTTTGGAGGTCGCTGTGGACATTTGTTGATGTTTGAGGCTTCAAGTTTGTAGAGAGGCCAGAACTCCGAAAGAACTGCGAAATGAAAAAGATAGCATCTATTCCAGAGTTGGTTTTGGGGAAAATTACAGGACCCCCCCTATATTTGGGGGTACGAACTACAGGTTCCTGTAGATTTTCTCTCAAACCAATCCATTCAATCTAACGCAAAGACTTGAGTCCTGAATCACAGTGATCAGTTCCTGCAAGCCTCGGCCTTCAAGTGTGGCATCCAGAGATTTTCCCGGGCTGATGGTAAGTATTTCCTGTTGCCTTTTTGTTTACAGAAGCATTGTTGTAGGCAAGTCGTGATAGACGGTCAGTACCTGCTCTACAACTGGATTGTCAAGGTGTGGCTTTTGACCTTCCATAGAAAGTTGTGGAAGCCTGTAGCAATCACAGCGCAGGAGAAATGACACAGGTCACTGAGGCAGACCACGATCGCTTTCCATTTTCCTACGACCATGAACTCACGGAATAACCTCTTTTGGGACGTAGTCATGTCATGAGATTTCAATAGTTCTAAATCGATTCTATCACTCAACCATCGATTTTTCTTTGTTGCTTGTGTTTTTTTACAACCTCCTGGTTAAGTATCTTCACCATCCGCAGCAGCTAATCTAGCCTGGGCGCTCCAGGCTGATCCTGACAGTGTCTTCTTTCCGCAGCGCCTGCGGCCCATCTTGAAACAACACGAAGCAGGCGCCTGCGGCCCCCGGTGGATCGGTCCATGGGTGATTGGTATCGTGATTGGATGATGGAATGATATATTAATATAAGTGGAATGGGTAGAATGGTATCATTAATATCCAATCACCCATGATATATCCATAATATATTAATATATGGTATCATGAATAACAATTCCTAATGATCTTAACATAAGTGGAATATCATCCATATGGAAATATAATATAATCCATGTGATTCAAGAATTCCTGATGATATTCATATTATCCATAGGATAACATCCATTGGTATCCATCATTGGTATCATATCCATTGGTATCATTAGGAATATCATCCATGGTCCTAATGATAATAACATAAGTGGAATATCATCCATATTATATAATATAAGCCATGTGATAAGAATTCCTATTATGATCTTAACATAAGTGGAATATCATCCAGATTATATAATATAATCCATGTGATAAGAATTCCTATTATGATCTTAACACAAGTGGAATATCATCCAGATTATATAATATAATCCATGTGATAAGAATTCCTATTATGATCTTAACATAAGTGGAATATCATCCAGATTATATAATATAATCCATGTGATAAGAATTCCTATTATGATCTTAACATAAGTGGAATATCATCCAGATATAATCCATGTGATAAGGATTATATATCCAGTTTATATATCCATGTGATAATTCCCATAAGTGGAATATCATCCAGATTATATAATATAATCCATGTGATAAGAATTCTATTATGATCTTAACATAAGTGGAATATCATCCAGATTATATAATAAATCCATGTGATAAGAATTCCTATTATGATCTTAACACAAGTGGAATATCATCCAGATTATATAATATAATCCATGTGATAAGAATTCCTATTATGATCTTAACATAAGTGGAATATCATCCAGATTATATAATATATTCCATGTGATAAGAATTCCTATTATGATCTTAACATACGTGGAATATCATCCAGATTATATAATATAATCCATGTGATAAGAATTCCTATTATGATCTTAACATAAGTGGAATATCATCCAGATTATATAATATAATCCATGTGATAAGAATTCCTATTTATCATCTTAACATAAGTGGAATATCATCCAGATTATATAATATAATCCATGTGATAAGAATTCCTATTATGATCTTAACATAAGTGGAATATCATCCAGATTATATAATATAATCCATGTGATAAGAATTCCTATTATGATCTTAACATAAGTGGAATATCATCCAGAATGGTGGAATATCATCCATATAATATAACCCATGTGATACGAATTCCTATTATGATCTTAACATAAGTGGAATATCATCCAGATTATATAATATAATCCATGTGATAAGAATTCCTATTATGATCTTAACATAAGTGGAATATCATCCAGATTATATAATATAATCCATGTGATAAGAATTCCTATTATGATCTTAACATAAGTGGAATATCATCCAGATTATATAATATAATCCATGTGATAAGAATTCCTATTATGATCTTAACATAAGTGGAATATCATCCAGATTATATAATATATTCCATGTGATAAGAATTCCTATTATGATCTTAACATAAGTGGAATATCATCCAGATTATATAATATAATCCATGTGATAAGAATTCCTATTTATCATCTTAACATAAGTGGAATATCATCCAGATTATATAATATCATCCATGTCATGTGATAAGAATTCCTAATGATATTAACATAAGTGGAATGATAAAGGGATGAGAATCATCTCTGTGTTAGCATATTAGAATGTTAGAAATATCTCTGGATTGAATAGATCCGAATGATTAGGAATATTATACAGAACTGTTTATTTGAGGTAATGTGAGTGAATCCCTCTGTAACAATCAGACTGTGACCACAAGAGTGGTAAACATATTTGCTGCCAGCAGCAATGATAACCATAGCAATCACATAGTTGTTACACACACACACATATATATATACACATATTTACACATACCCATACACATAATATACGTACTGTGGGTGGAAGAAATCTTGCACCTGTTGGTACCTGTTGGTAACTATGAAACATTGTAAATCATGGGCTTTCTTTTGTGGCATAAACCATCTATCGGTGGATTTCTTCCCTCAGCACGTAGTAATGACTTAGCAATCCAGGCCTACTCCTTTCCGAACGCCCAGGTTCCATGAGCCAAAGCAGCCCAGGTGCAGCACGGAAGAATCCATCGCTGACAATGTTGTTGCTCCCATGTTGCTACTTTTGTGCTGTGCAAAAGTTGACAGTTGACATTTTTAATCATTTTTTTGGACATGCTGATGCTGATACGCACCAGAATCTTCCAGTTCTTTCCGGAAACTGGGGGTTGTACAACGAGGAGTCTACTTCAACAACTGCAAGTTCGGAATGCATGGACCGCATGGACCTCAATGAAGGCTGACAGAGGTCAGCCTCTTGTGATGGATCCGGGTTTTCCGCTAGATATTTCTTAAGATTTTGTCCAGCTTGGTACAGTACATTTGTCTTGGGATGTCTGGGGGCTATACAATATTAAATAAATAAAAATACATATATATATATATATATAATATAATCCTGCATATATAATTTACATTCTTTATTCATTTAATTTCATTCTTAAAGTTGTCAGTTTTCCATGGAATTTGGCTCCAAGGCTAGAGGTCTTTTCCGTGGCCACCGTCCGCGCGCTGAGTTCCAGCTTTGTAGGTGACTTGTCATCGACTGGGAGCTGCTGCCAAACCATGAAGGTTTGTAAGTCCCCGATTCATGGATTATCCCATGTATATCATATAGTATAGTAAATATATATACATACAAATCTATCTATCTATCTATCTATCTGTCTATCTATCTATCTGTCTGTCTATCTATCTATCTATCTATGTATCTATCTATCTATCTATCTATCTATGTATCTATGTATCTATGTATCTATGTATCTATCTATCTATCTATCTATCTATCTATCTATCTATCTATACATATATATATACAAATACGAGATACATTCATATATGTATATATATATATATACACATGTATATATATATATGTATTTGTATATGAATGGTCGAACTTGACCTTGGAATTCTGTGCTCATCGACTAAATCAAACGGCTTTACTATCACCTTTCATGCTGAAAAAAAAGATCTCTCGTTCAAGGTGGTGTGTCAAAAGTACCAAACTTCCGCTGCAGGTTGCTATGATTTTTTCCAGAAGCTTTGCAAAGGCGACTGTCAATGGGGTGAGGACTGAGTGCACTGAACCTTGTGTCGATTTCTGCAGCTTCAAGACAGGCAACCATCGAAGACACACCCGGTGTTACGGAAGACACAATTTTTTCCAAGACAGGCAACCACTGAAATTTTCGGTTTTTCTTTTTCTGTCTATAGACATGAGCCTGAAAGCACATCCGACTCGAGCTACCTTTACTTGTCACATGACTTGGCGGCCTAGGGAACCGGATGTGCATGTCCTACAGACATCTACAGACCAAGTTGTCCTCTACAGGACATGTGGGTGGATCAGTGCTTGAAGCGCTCTGTCCAAGCAAAACGTGTTTTCAACTCGGACTTGCTATCGGAAGCTCACTGCGATCCCTCGCCAGGCAGGGCATTCATGGGCATTCGACATATTAACCTTTGACCTTGCTGTGGCAGGGTCAATGTGTTTCGCATTTTGAGCGCAGTGTGAAATTTGACATAGGTCCTCTTCAGGGTGCAAGTAGTGGATCTACAGACTAGCGGCAAGCGGCCTCAACCGGGCAAGTGTCAAATCTGGGAGGCTGGCAAGAGTGCAAAGATCCAATCCGCGTGGCATTCCATCCTTTCAAAACAGTCCCTTGGTTGCAAATTCATGGAGCCCAGTCAGACCAGTCATGTCGCATCATGTCGCATCATGTCGCCCTCGCTGTCAAGGTGACCGATCACCGCATTTGTCAGCAATCTGCGGAGATGGCTGCCATTGCAGCTTAAGGCAGCCACTCGTGGAATCGGTGATCATTGGTGTGTCAATGCCTAAACACTGCGTGTTGGGGCCACATGCCAAGCACTTTGCCGAGGAATGTGAATTGTATCATGTGCTCATGTGGGGATTTCTTCAAGGGAATCCCCGAAACCATGCGAATCTTTGAATAGTCAAATGGTCGAATTTCGGGTAGCCGCCACTGGCCCCCCACTTCCGCCAATCTATTTGAATGTTTCCATATGTTTCCATTCTGTTTCGGGCATTTGGTCACCACATTTCCACAAGTCCCCGCGGCGAGTCAACACAAGGCTGGCGATGCGCATACCAGCGATTCGAGACCCCTGGCCTCGAAATGGGTGCCGTGGCTTTCCCCTGAAGGGGAGGCCTCAGGTTCACCAGTGACAAGTTTATTCTTAGCTCCAGAACCATGCGACCAGACCAGGTGAAAAATGTGCAGCTTCCACCGGACAAAATCAGGTTTGAACGGTGAAGGTGAATCTCAGCAATCCCCAGTCGAGCACAATGGTATTTGCAGGTCTTGAATAGGTTTGTCATCACTAAGTATGTCATGAAGATTTTTTTTTCGAGCCAACATAAATCACCAAGTATGTCACATTCTTCAGAGTTGGACCATATGATCGTATCTATTGGCCTGCAGACATTAGTGGACCAGGTACATGACCAGCTGAAGCCCTGACCCAACCCCACTGGAGCTTGTGCAGCGACGCTAGCGAACCAATCCACGTTTTGCGATTCCCCAGATTCGCACCCGTCGAGCCACATGTGTGTTGCAGATCATGGAAGTCCCAGGTTGGGGTTTCCCATGCCTCAGACCATACCCAGCACAACAAAGGAATAGCTGCTGTGTGCCCGGAATCGTGTCTAATACGCTTTCGACAACGCTTTCATGGGACTTCACTTTGAGCTCCCACAGTCAGAAGCAGCCACACGTGCGCTATCTCAGATCTTGCGGACAGGCACGCTTGGTGTTCTTAGGCTCGTGTGTATTTGTTTTGAAGAAAAATCCAGTCTCACCTTCATTCCTGGGATCAGCAACTGCCCTCAGTTTCTCAACCAACCTGCAACCGCTGAGGTTGACGCGGATGGGGAAGGAGAGCAACTGAGAAAGGGATGGGTGATATTCTTCGCTGGTGGGACAGGTTGCAAGCGAGTGTATTGCCAACCCTCAAAAATCAAAACGAAAAGTAAAATCCAATCCGAACCTTACTAAACCAGTACATTACTTTTCTAATCTTTTCTCTACTTTTCCTTTTTTTTGAGGCTTACTATGGCTTACTATAATAATCTATAATCAAATCTAGTAATAGCTTGTGGCCTGGCATTTCGGATGCGGCTTTTCCTGGTCATACCGTTTGGCACGAGGACGCCCCCGCGCCTCGCAATGGCGTTTCCAAGTCTCCGGTGAAAGGCGGGCATTTCGGTGGCCCCCCCATAGACGGTAACGGATTTGTAGTTGAAATAACAATGACATTATTATGATTTCCATTAATAAATAATTACTTTACTTCGTGTGATCCCCACCATGACATGTCAGGACATGTCAGGACGTATATTTGGACAAATCTTGAATATATTCTGACATTCTATCTGACATATATTCTGGCATTCTATCTGGCAATCTATCTGACATATATTCTGACATTCCACCTGGCATTCTATCTGGCATTCTATCTGGCATTCTATCTGGTATTCTATCTGGCATTCTATCTAGCATTCTATCTGACATTCTATCTGGCATTCTATCTGACATATGTTCTGACATTCTATCTGGCATTCTATCTGGCATTCTATCTGGCATTCTATTTGTCATTCTATCTGGCATTCTATTTGTCATTCTATCTGGCATTCTATCTGGCATTCTTTCTGGCATTCTATCTGGCATTCTTTCTGACATATATTCTGACATTCTATCTGGCATTCTATCTGGCATTCTATCTGGCATTCTTTCTGGCATTCTATCTGGCATTCTTTCTGACATATTCTGACATTCTATCTGGCATTCTATCTGGCATTCTATCTGGCATTCTTTCTGGCATTCTATCTGGCATTCTATCTGGCATTCTATCTGACATTCTATCTGGCATTCTTTCTGGCATTCTATCTGGCATTCTATCTGGCATTCTATCTGGCATTCTATCTGGCATTCTATCTGGCATTTTATCTGGCATTCTTTCTGGCATTCTATCTGGGATTCTTTCTGACATTCTTTCTGACATTCTATGGTCGTGGTTGAGGTCCGGCAGGGAACACTGGGCGTGGATGGTCGTGGTTGAGGTCCGGCAGGGAACACTGGGCGTGGATACTCGCGGTTGAGGTCCGGCAGGGAACACTGGGCGTGGATGGTCGTGGTTGAGGTCCGGCAGGGAACACTGGGCGTGGATGGTCGTGGTTGAGGTCCGGCAGCGAACACTGTGGATCGCGAGTCGCAGTTGAGCAGGAGGACGAGGAGGACAACGAGGACGACGAGGACAACGAGAGGAGGACGACGAGAGGAGGAGGAGAGGAGGCAGGAGAAGGCAACTTAGATAAAATCTAACAACCCTCACCTGGCAGGTGGGGAAATATATATATATATAGTAATTACATATGATCTATTATTTAATTATTATGATAATAGTAGTAATAGAAATAATGATAATGATGACGCGAACAATAATGATGATGATAGTTGGAAGAATAGATGTGCACCAGCAGATTCCCTTGTTTTTGCTGATTCTCTAAGTTCTCTATCCCTAGAATAGCACGCGCCTTGGTGTACGTTTGAAAGACATTGTAGAAGGTAGATGATTCCACTTTACTCTTTCTAAATTCACAGCATGTGTGAACTCTACCAGTCTACATAAATTCTATATTTGCTTCGTAGTTCATGTTTCCTCAAGCTTACATGAACCAACGAAACGTCAAACCCTTGTCGCAGCACCAGAAATTGCAGGACACCTAAATTACGTGGTGCAATTCCGCAGGAGCAGAAACTGCAAAACACGACACGGGAAAGGTGACACCAGATGAAACTATGACCAGATAAAACGATGAACAGCGAGAAACCTTAGGCATCTTTAGGCAAAGAAAGGAACTTCCGCTGCATAGTAGCACGATTCTTCAGACCCCAAGTTGAATTCTTGCGATATTTGCAGTTGCATCTTTTGTTTCATTTTCAGTATATCTGGGTTTGTTTGAAAATATGGCACACCCAAATCCTCCGTTAATAAGCACTTCATACGCACTTTCAAAAGCCATTTGTGATAGTTACTTGATTGTTATATACTTGTATTTGATGGTTTAGTCCACATTTTTGACAGGTAAACCAGGTAAACCACCATTTTTCACCATTTTTCTTGGGGAAAACCCCACGAATCCGAATCATGGCTCTCCTCCCATGGCATAGGCAGCGGCTCGCCTGCGGCCACAGCAGCTGCAGCACAGCTGGCTGCAGAGAAGGGGCTGCCGACACAGAACTCAGCCAGCTGCCGAGATCCGACAGTTCGAATGGAATTCAATTTCGGGATTCCCTCTGGTTATTTAACAGTTTGCCATGGAAAATGGCCCATTTATAGAGGTTTACCTATTAAACATGGTGATTTTCCATGGCAAACTGTTAAATAACCAGAGGGTATTGTAAAAATATATATATATATATATGTATGTATGTATGTATGTATGTATGTATGTATGTATACATCATCGGATATGGACCAGCCACAATCTGGATAGATATGACTGACTGGATCTATACCTATGAATTTCTATCATTTGTAGGGTGATAAGCTAGACATTCATGTGCAAACTATATTTTTGATATGATGTGGGGGTACAGGGTTGGAGATAGATTGTGTCAACCCTGGATTGATAAAGCCAGGTTGATTTAGAATCGGGCGGTTACCCGCAAATAGATCCAAATAGTGACATTTGGCTACCAAAACGGTACCCCTCTTATCATCAACAACCCAGGGTGTACTAATTCGAGGTTGACATTATAGGAACCCTAGATAGAACAGCAAAATCCAATCCTAAAGTAATGGTAGAATATGGTAGACAACTTTTCTATCTTTCTGGTGGTTACTTTAGATCCTGAACGACAGCGACTTGACGATCAACGGCTCTGAAAAAATGGAAATGGTGGTTTTTCATGGCTTAGAAATTGGGGATGGGCCAACAGATTGGCATTGGGGTTCGAGGTGCTCTATCTTTAGACCTATGAAATAAATTTTCATCTGCCAAATTTCCAATCGAGTTTGAGGGTTGCTTGGATCAACGGTTCGCATCCATTCATCATGCATTACTGCGATTATTACTGCTGGTGTTTCATTTGGTGACCCTTTCAAGGGTCATCCACCGAGAAATGGTAGGGGACAGTGTCCGAGGTTGTTCCTGTGGCCGTCGCTGCCAACCTGGGCTTAGGCTCCTCACTTTCTGCCTGAGAACATGTCAGAGAATTTTGAAAGTTCCAGATACGTAGGGCAGGCATGTTCAAGATTGTTAAATGTTTATACATGTGTGTTGTCTTTACCAAATTTGCAACGATCACTGATAAGACTGCCCTTCACCACTCCTGGAATTTCGCAATGCTTCGAAATGACAGACTGAACATATGCTCTCTTTGTGCATCCGCATGGTCCGAATGGTGTCATTGAAGATTCCATCAGGCCTTAGACCCCGGCCTAATGCTCGACCGGCAGCGGCACCAGCCACATCCACAGGCCAGGAAAGAGCTTGACAGGATGTGTCACCATCTTATTCTGCAGTTCCCTCATGTTAAGATCTGATACAATTTGGATTTCACCCCAAACACTATGCTTTAATGTTTGAGTATTCTCTCCTATTGGTTTCTTCCTTTCCGCCATGATAGAAAGACTAACATTTAGATGTGAAAAACATTGACACATATTGAAACATATTGAAACATCGCTATCACCTCTAGATTCTTTACTTTTCCAAAGCTATGTCTACAGCTCCCTTCACAAAGCTGACCAGGCCCGCCACCAGCAAAGGCGATCGGAGCTGGCACCGTAACACGGCCGAAGGCACGGGCATGGCTGGTCTGAAAATAGGCTACTCAAATTTTATGGCACTGTTTCGAAATGGAAATGGATGATAAAGAATGATGAACCATGTTTTTTTTGGCTGATTTCCGTACAAACCCAACTCCACCGGTGACTCATGATATTGCAAATGATCATAGAATCATAGCCTTTTTGTGTTTGGTTGGAATGTGACAGAACCACAGCCCTTGTCCCCACTGACCACTGATCTGACAGGCTCCGGCAAAAGCGCCACCCTTGAGGTTGGACGGGAAGGGAACACTTCTCATTGGTGTTTAAAGTTCGGCTTTAGCCATAGGGAATTCAATGAAATTTGAAGCATTCGGATCTGAAATATCAGGTTGTATTTGTCAGATTTCTTCATCAGGTCAGTAATCTAGATATATCAACATGTATAACATGTCAAATCTAGTATCACTATATATATATATATATGCTAGACATTATTAAAATATTATACATACCCTGAAAGTAACATGCATCATTTTACCCACAATATCAATGATAGTCCACAACCCCGGGGTGGAATATTTTGATTCATTGTGATTTTCTAGGATACAATAGATAATCATATGAATCATATGTTCGATTTTCCATCAGGCCTGGTGGAAATTTTCCAGTTCCGTCTTGGTCCAAACTCTGGAGACGGCGGATGTTTCGCAGCGGATCAGGCCTGATACCCATCCAGCAGCGAAAGCACCAGGCGCTTTACCATAGCAAGATTAGGGTTGGTCATCGAGATAATGTACTGTATATACATATATATATATATATATACATATTAAAAAGTATCTATACGACACACATACAATATATATATATATATATATTGTACAAACCAGCAGAATATATGTAAAGTATATCGGGAAGCGGGCAAACTGAGCAAAACAGAAAGTGGTCTGCGCAGATTTTTGCCTTTGCCATACCTGAAACAAGCAGGGAAATGGAACATCCATGAACAGATCTATTTTCGACAAACATCCTCCAGGTACTGCGGCCAACCGCTCCAGTGCAAGTCCCACTGGAGGTGCCACCTATCTTTTAAACAGTGGAGAAATGGGTATGAAAATGGAGGTGACCTTCCAAACGGCAATTTCAATGACGGGAAAATGATGATCATGGGATTTTGGAGGTTTTCCTGTACACAGATCATATCAGGAGAGGATCACTTACATCGCTCCTAGGATTCAGTGTTTTTTTTTTCCAGCCAGTTGCTATGCTTTTGACATTTGCTGTGGCACAGGTAGCGAGCCACGGGGCAGCCGGAAGCTTGGGAAAAAAATGGTAAAACAGGGAAACTAGGACAGGACAGGTTGGAGGTTAGGTGGGAGGCTGTTATGTTTTTGTTCAATCTTGTAATCTGAAATGTTTGACTGTTTCTTTTTGACTATCCTGCTACATTCACAGATGTTGTCCATCAGTCTTGAAACATTCAATTTTCTGGATCACAAACCACTGATGGACAACATCCATCAACATCCATGGAATTTCAGTGAGCTCAGGCCCTGCCGGCCAAAGTCCAGCCAAAGCTGCAGGCCAAAGTACAGCGGATGTTGGCTGAAGAAATGGGATGTTGTAGGGCAGATGATTTTCTGTATTTATATAGACATACATTGACATACATATCTTGCAGATGATATATTAAAACATAATCTATATTGCATATATCAAATGCTAATCTAGTTTGTCTATCATATGATAGTTGACATAGATGATTTATGGTTGAAAAAGTTATATTCCACATATTTCCAAATGATACTTATTGATTTTAATATGGGTATGGGTCAAAATTAGGTACCCCAAAATTATGGATGGCTAATACTAAACTAGACATTCACATCTGTGGTCCCACATCGGTCTTCCATTTTGACCCACATCCATATGATCAATATTGACATTGACTGTATCATCCAAAGTCTCAGGCACCGCTCCACCGACTCCAGCACAACCGGCCTCACAAGGGGTCCAGCCTGGGCAGAAAGGTGGCTTCCAGTAGGGCTGCGGCGGGAAACCATGGATGAGTTGTATGTTGTGGTCATTGTTCGCGGTAAAATGTGGAATTTGCTAAGTAATATATAGTTATAATTTTTTGGCTGATTTTAGGGGAGATGATGTTTTTTTTTTTAACGATATTTTTACAACTGATGTACTACTAGTCCGGGGAAGTTCCTGTGAAAATGGGATCCTAAAAATGGGATCCTAAAAAATACGGGGACTACTATTGAGATGATGCTGGGTGATAGAACTTGAAGCAACCATTCTACTGTGATTTGATGGAACATGTATACCCAAGAATATGAAATGGTTCAAATGGTACGCCCAATGCCACGATTAATGAGGTAGTGTAACCTTATTGGGATGATTATTGGGACATATTGGGACACTAATGGTCATGGGGATAATGTCGTAAACCCAATGCCATAAACTATCCCAGTAAGGACACTAACTTAGGAGTCATTCTTCATCATCCCCAAAAACAGGGTATACCGGTATACCCAATTTCATCACAACCCCCAAATAATTTGTAGGTTGGTTTCTTTTTAGTAGCAGGGATCTAAGCTTGTTTTGAACATTTGAGAGTATATGAGAGTATATAGTTTCGATTCATCCCCAAAATGGGTGAGAATTGGAAATGCAATGCTCCGTAAATCTGATGACATCTGGTCATTAGCATTGAACCAGCTACTTTGCAGGGCCAATGGTGGTGACCCACGAGGATTTTTTGCATGAACATTTTGCTATAACGATTCCTGTGCAACGACCTAGACACGTTTAACCGATTTAGTTGTTCGTTTTTGACTCCTGCAGCAGCCAGGCTTTTAGTGAGTTGCGCTCCATTCAACACCTCCAGGTAATACTGCTTGCTCAATTCCAAAAAGTCAGTCTTGGTAGAATTTGGTACATATAATCAGGGTCATGGTCATGTGGCGCAAAACTGAAAGCCATCCCCGGCACTGCCGGGTTCTGTGTAGCTGCGTAGCTGCTGGGATTCCAGTGGGATCCGAGGTGCTCCACCACCTGCTGGGATGCTGGCCATTTTGGGAGGCATGTCAGACTTTTTATCGTCTGCTCGGCAGCCCAGCAAACGAAGCAAACGAAGCAAACGAAGCGTTTTTGCGCTCTGACAGGGGCATGATGAAAATCCTGGTGGGCACGGGTTGATTGGGAACTGGTGTGCAAACAATTTCATCTTGCGAGAGTTGCCGGTCAAACGATCAAAGTAGTGTGGAGCTCTCGAGGTTTCAAACCAAGCGGCTGGTGGCTACTCAGAGGTGCAGAACTAGTGAGGGAGCTATGGCAGCTATGGCCATGGCAGCTATGGGTATCCAGTATCCATATTCACAACATTTCCCAATTAAACGGGGAGCCAGTTGGAGCTATGACTTGACTTTTCTAACTCCAGGATAATCTGATAGTAAAGCCATGTAAAGCCAATGATTTTTGATCGCTCAAGACTGATGTTAGAGGTTTGCACCCAAATCCAAAAGTACCTTCTGAATCGTATGTGCATTTCTCAACTTCGATGGACATATTCCCAAGATGAGGTCAACTTTGAGGATGTTTCTATATGTTTTCATATGGCATGATCATCGCTCGACCCAAAATATTTTGACGCTCGAGGCAAAGCATTGCTGGGCAAGTAGTACACTGGACATGACACTAGAACAGAATGACGCCAGATTCTATCACAAAAAGTTAAGCGAGCAATGATCAGGAAACAGTAGCAGATGTGACTGGCCTGCAGCATTTCTGATCATCCTGTCCAATCTCTACCCTTGCAGGAACAACGCAGAGGTTGCATTGCCTGTGTCAACTTCTCAGATTCAGCTGAAAGGATGGTCCCACCATGGTTCTTGTCACCTAGAAATCAGAAGGTTCTCTTATGTTCTCTGCACTGGCATCCAATCAGATCCTCTCAAAACTCAGTCAGACCCAGCCAGATTGCGCTGTGCTCAGGCTCTTAGATTGGGGAAGCCTGAGCTGGTCAACGTCTTGGCGAGGCCGAGCTAGGAAAGGTGGGAGTTTGAAGGGAACTTCAGGAACCCATTTGGCATCCAAAAGTACCGGTTGGATTTGTTCGGAACCGGGGTCTACCATGGTATGGCCCCAATTTATGGCAATTTTCCTGGCGAAAATGATGATGCACCATTTTTGTTTTGAGATACCCTATTTTTGGACACATTTGTTTGGCCTTTTGAAACACCAAAAGGCAGATTCGTTATCCCCAAACCCTGTGCCTGAAGGGCTGACTTCAGTGGTGGGCCACCCCTCTGAGGCTCCACAGTTTGGCAGCCAGTTGCTGGTCGCATAGCTCTTCAGACTCGTCGGCTGTGAAGGCGGTTGCCAGCCTCAGCTGATCGGTTCCATGAGTTTTCAACCGCAAACCCTAAACCCTGAGCTCGGATGAAAATGAAAAGCCAACTTGGGTAGGTCAACATCTCATTCTTGTCCATTCTGGTCACGTTTTTGAGATGGACAATACTCTCAAGCAGGGTACCAGAGTAACCTCATATTCCCTGTACCCATTCCAGTCCATGACACCATCCCAGTTTCCTGTATGGCCAAAATCCCGTGTCTTATCATCATTTAACCATCTTTCATACCAGAAGATGATAGATCTGATAGAACATGACACATTAGGGTATCATTAGGGTATCATTAGGGTATCATTAGGGTATCATTGGTATCATTCACAAACTTTCATTCTTAATTCTTAATATTCTTAATGATTAAATATGATAAAATGTGGAGAATCTCATCCAAGCCATTGATCAAAGCTGGGGTCCGCCATACCTGGATGAAGTGCCAGGCCCTGGCTGTGCTCCTTGGTGTTTCTTTGGCTGCCAACAAGGCCCCAAGGGGCCATGAAAATGTGGTAAAGCCAATGTCATAAACCATCCCAATCTCCATAGATGGATAGATTTTTAACATTGTTTAAACCATCCGCCAAATGATAGGTTTCTGATTGGCTTTCCCACATGAAATTCTAAATGATAGACTGCAGTAAGGGGCTGTAGTACCTTCTCAGAATCTGTTTCGTTGGGTCTAATTCAGCAAAAAATGCAGTGACGAGTGCACCCCAAAATCAGTTGATCATCATTTTCCCCATGGAATTGCCACTCTATGGGGGGGTATACGCAATTTTCAGATACACCCAAATATCACATACAGTAGTTGGTGAAATATCTCGGCGCTATATCTCTATCCCAATAAAATATACCAACTTAATATCTCAACTAACCAAAAAGACGACAATCAAATATGTAGCCCGATCAGATATCCCAATGATGCCCATGACATATCCCATAGAGGATTCATCTCCATTAAATCTCCATCAATGATGATCAATGTGGATAGCAGTCCTCCAGGATTCCCTAGAGGAGGCCATTGCGTGGCGCCTTGCTAGGTGCCTTTGAAAGCTTTGCATTGCGGCATCGCTGGTAATTTGAGGGGACCCCCATTTCAGGAAACCTTCATATGAACTTATAGCCATAGAAAGTAGTCATTTACCACCATTTTCAAGGATTGGATTTTACTCTTTGTATCGGGGTTGCTTGTTCAGCATCTGTGGTGAATTATGGTCAGTTCGATCAATTTTCCCATATCACCTGTTGGAATCGGCACCTTCCAGGCCGCAAGATGTTTGTAGGCCACAAGACGCTTGGAGGCGAGATCATCGTCTTACAGCGTCCGAAGTCCCAGCGGAAATGGATTTGAAATTGCTTCCATTGGTTCCATTGGTTCCATTGGTTCCATTGGTTCCATTGGTTCCATTGGTTCCATTGGTTCCATTGCTTCCATTGGTTCCATTGGTTCCATTGGTTCCATTGGTTCCATTGCTTCCATTGGTTCCATTGGTTCCATTGGTTCCATTGGTTCCATTGGTTCCATTGCTTCCATTGGTTCCATTGGTTCCATTGCTTCCATTGGTTCCATTGGTTCCATTGGTTCCATTGGTTCCATTGGTTCCATTGCTTCCATTGTTCCATTGGTTCCATTGCTTCCATTGGTTCCATTGGTTCCATTGGTTCCATTGGTTCCATTGTTCCATTGGTTCCATTGGTTCCATTGGTTCCATTGGTTCCATTGGTTCCATTGCTTCCATTGGTTCCATTGGTTCCATTGTTCCATTGGTTCCATTGGTTCCATTGGTTCCATTGGTTCCATTGGTTCCATTGGTTCCATTGGTTCCATTGGTTCCATTGGTTCCATTGGTTCCATTGTTCCATTGCTTCCATTGCTTCCATTGCTTCCATTGGTTCCATTGGTTCCATTGGTTCCATTGGTTCCATTGCTTCCATTGGTTCCATTGGTTCCATTGGTTCCATTGTTCCATTGGTTCCATTGTTCCATTGGTTCCATTGGTTCCATTGTTCCATTGGTTCCATTGGTTCCATTGGTTCCATTGGTTCCATTGGTTCCATTGGTTCCATTGGTTCCATTGGTTCCATTGGTTCCATTGTTCCATTGGTTCCATTGGTTCCATTGTTCCATTGGTTCCATTGGTTCCATTGGTTCCATTGGTTCCATTGGTTCCATTGCTTCCATTGCTTCCATTGCTTCCATTGGTTCCATTGCTTCCATTGGTTCCATTGGTTCCATTGGTTCCATTGGTTCCATTGGTTCAATTGCCATTGTTCAAATTCATGAAAAAATCCACGTTCTTGGCGCTGAGAAAACTCGCAACGCCCAAGTTGCCAAGGCTAGCCCTGCTGCTAAAAGCGCCGCCCAAGGCGGATTCCGAGGCCACTGAAGCTGAAGGATCAATGATCATAATATGATCATAATATGATATCATATGGAGGTTTCCTAAAATGGGGCTACCCCCAGTTATCATCCAATATTCAAAATGGGGATCCAGAAATTCAGTTTCAGCATCTTTCATGGCAATCCCCAAGGGAACTGGTGGTTCAGCCAGGCAGAGCTGGTTGCGAAAGTCTTGAAAAGCGTGGTGTCGATGGCCACTGCGGCGCTGTGCACCCTACTTTCTGCATCTGCAGGTGCAGCCAGACCTGTGGTGTGGTTCGAATTGGTCGGGAAGACTTTTTGAGATCGTGGATACCAGGAGTCCTGTAGATTTCTATAAGGAATTCTAAAAAAACTTGGCATGAGCGGACATTTCTGTAGTTCACAGCCTTGGATGAACACCATATGAGAAATACAGAAATACACAGATGAGGCGGGATCTACATGATTAATATGATTAATTAGTGATAATTACATATCACAATCAAATACTTAACATACAGAAAACATATATTTATGTATAATTAGTCTATACACATGTATTATGTATTGCACACACACATATGTATATATATATACACGTACATATGTATGGAGACATATTAATTGCACGGGCTTTTGAAAGGGACTTGCAAAGGTTCCGGGGCTGTCAAGTGTACAGGAACAACCCTGGATGATGCCAAGCAGGGCGCAGTTTTGAAGTCGCAGTCTCAGTTCGGGCTGCCGTTACTAGCAATGCGGCTTTGTTTGAACATAAGGTGTCTCTAAATCCATTTGTTAATCATATATTTTGCCTATGAGAATGCACTCAATCTTTGACGTATACTACATTTCAGACACACCGGTTGGTTGGGGGTAAAGAGCTTCGAGCCAACATATGGAGTGCCGTGCAAGGGTCGTCCTTGTCAGGCTTGCTGAACAAGTGGCCTCAGGCATGTAGCTGATTCAGTTTTGTGATGGCAAGAAGGAGGATTCGCATAGCTTCTGGTTGCAGGGGCCTATTGTTTATAAACACGGAGCTTGCTGAAAAGCTGAAAATTGACTGCAACTGATCAAAGCAACTGTTCATAACTTTCTCTCCATTGGTGCCAGGTTCTGTCGGCAAGGTGCCCCTGGAAACGTTTGGATACTCTTGAGTCGCTCCTGTTTCGTAGAGTTCTTGCTGTTCCGCATATTCAATTGCTACTTCCAACGAATCCATTTGATGACATTGATGATTTTGATGGCATGCAGCATGGCCTTACAAATTACGAAAGTCTTGCATCTCGATGCAAACAGACGGCAAACTTCATGTCATGTTGCAACATATATAAAACCATAGCAGCGCGACAGGGCAAGACCTATCCTGGTTTGGAGATTCTAGCATTGCTGTTGGGATGTGACGCGAAAGAGGCACAAGAGGGCTGGGCCAGCTGGGCAGGGGCTTGTGTGGTTTCGCAACTCTCTAGGATCAATATCAGTATAGAATGATGTGTATAAATAAATCAATCTCTATATGACGCAACTCTCTAGGATCAATATCAGTATAGAATGATGTGTATAAATAAATCAATCTCTATATGACTCTCTCTCTCTCTATATATATATGTAGATACATAATATGTACATGTATAAATCTTGGTGCAGAAGTTGCTTGATCAGTTGATTGATCATGAGCCAGCTGACCTTGGCTGCCCAACTGCTAGGCGGCCATCCTGTCGCATGCATCCAATGTGCCATGGGTATCTTGGTCGCCATCCAAATCAAGACCCAGCAATTGTTGGTACATCAAACTCAACCATCTAATTTTTTGGGGTGCCCAATTCTGACCCAGACCCAATTCCCTTTGGAACCATGCAACATTTAGTGACGGATGAATGTCCGTAAAAAGATCAAATACTATCCACCGGAGCAATTTTGGTGAATCATTTCGGCAGAATGTTTCTGGCGCATAACGCGTCAGATCTGACGATCTCTGAATGACTAAGGCCAAAGCAGCGCAAAGTGCCATCAAGACGGTGGCCCCTTGGACCGGCGCGATTGCGCTAGCACTGGTCGTTGCAAATTCAACGAGAAGTTGAGCTCGGGGTGCTTTGTGATACAGATTATCACGGACAACTGATGAAGTATGGCTGTACTGCAACACACCAGGATCTGCTGTTGTAAATCACATTAAATCACTATCTCCATATATATATATATATGTATATATAATAATTAGTAATATAATATAATCAAATATATATATATATATAATATAATCAATTATATATAATATAATTATATATATATGTATATGTATAGATATAGATGTATATATATATATAGACATAGAATGCGGTCCGCTTCTCATGTTATGATCTATTTCAATAGATCATCATGGCGACAGGATAAGTTACATGATTCTACCATTCCTAGTGCGCTAAGATTTAAGAATCATCCAAATGTTGTTGCCACGACTCCTGTGCTGCAGCCAGCTCCTGCACAGCAGTGTTCTCTTCAGGTTGCTCAGATGATCCCCCAAAGTGCTGAGGCCACAGGTTCACAACCCCCCGCTCCTTTGGAGACTGCCAAGACAAAGCCGGGAGCTGAGCGATGCAAACTTCCCGCTGTGTTTGCTGTTTGTCTCATCCATGGCAGTGCTTGTAATTTTTGCGTCCTTTAATTCGTGTTTTTTCCTGTAGGTGCTGCTGATGTGAGAAGATGCACTCCTTTGTATTCCTTCACCTACTCATTTGGTCTTAGCAACATCTCAGTCCCACCCACTCTGGCCTTGCTGAGGGCTGTAGAGGTTCCTGATCCATTGCCCCCATGGTTTAGTGTTTTCGCTTGGGCCAGCGGGTTTCTTCAAGTTTCCAACGGATTCTCTCAGTGTAAGGACCTTCTTGAAGCATGCACGCATTGTGACATGACACCCGCCATTGTCCCTGCATGATACAAGATCACCGCCTGTCATTGTTAAGGCCTGCCAGCTCCAATTCACAGGCGTGAGTGAGTTAGCTGCTTCACAATATGAGCCATAGATAGCTGTAGCCAGCCCTTAGGAGCATGGATTTCATGCATGATAGCAGGGCCAATTCGAAAGTTCTACCGGGATTCTACCGAGAACAACATTGTGAATGCCAGAAAGGATCAAGCCAGCAGAAACTGGCACGAATATGGGCGAGCAGAAAACGGAATGTAAACATCATAGTCTGCAGGCTTGCAACCCATTGCTAATCAAAGCACTTGCGCAGGCTGCACCAGCAGCGTCAGCATCAGCTGCGGCCCAAGCGACCGCTCCGGCGCCTGCCAAGCCTGCTACGCCGGCAGCGACCAAGCCTTCCGCGCCGGCAGCGACCAAGCCTTCCGCGCCGGCGGCGACCAAGCCTTCCGCGCCGGCAGCGACCAAGCCTTCCGCGCAGGCGGCGACCAAGCCTTCTGCGCAGGTGGCGACCAAGCCTTCCGCTGAGACAGCGGCGAAGCCAGCTGCGCCTGCAGCGGCGAAGCCAGCTGCGCCGGCAGCGGCGAAGCCTGCTGCGCCGGCACCAGCCAAGCCTGCTGCGCCGGCTAAGCCTGCTGCGCCGGCAGCTGCCAAGCCTGCTGCACCCACTGCGAAGCCAGCAGCGCAACCGCCTGCGACAGCCTCCGCAAATGACAGTGCTGCCGACAGTCAAGTTGGGGAGCCTTGGATTGGTGTCAGTGACCTTCATATCCAACCTGCTTTCGTTGGCTTCTTGTGGTGGATTTCCGTACTTATGCGTTAAACGTTGGAGGAATTTGGGTTTCAACGAACCTGGTGACCAGCAATCACGATGTCATCTATTGAGGCACGCAAACCTGTGGAAGCCGCACCTGCCAAACTGGCACCTGCCAAACCGGCACCTGCCAAACCGGCACCTGCTAAATCGGCACCTGCCAAACCGGCACCTGCCAAACCTGCCGGGAATCCCAGAATGCAACCACGCCAGAACAGTCTGCTTGTTAGAAGCACTACAACAAGTACTTGAATATGATGGAAGTCTGATAGAAGCCAAACAGCAGGGTGAGCGGTCAGATCAATTATTGCTACTTCAATTCAAGTACCAAACAGATTTTATCTAGACTGAACAAATCAGAATGCTTCTGTTCACGAATGCTAGGGCTAGCGAACTGGAGTTTCGATCAGACCAACCAAATGCCAAACGCGTGATTTTTAAACGAACCCCCCTCCCTCCCCCAGATGCATCCTGATACATAATCTTGATGCTGAACTCACTTCACCTACGCATTCCATCCGATCCACTCCACTCAACTCATTCCACCTAGTCACTCCTTTTGATTCATTTCACCTCACTCACTCCAACTCGCCCCTCTTCCTCCATGTTCCCCTGCGCATCTCGCCTACCATTACAAGCTCCCTAATTATGGCTTTTCCATTTTAATGATTCATATTGTAATCCTTTCTCCTCCCATCTTCCCCTTGGGATTCAAGCTTTTCCTCTTCTACCCAGATCAGCTGCACCAGCTCCGCAAAAATTGGGAAGCTTCACTTCCTATGTTGATGTGTCCATCATGTGGCACAACTTGAGCCTCAGGCGCCTCAAGCAGAGACCAAGCAAACCAAAGACGAAGATGCCGAAATCTGAGACGTTTGAAAGTCAGGACACCAAATGTGCCTCAGCATAGCAGTTGAATATGTTAAATAGATTTAAATAGCATGCCTTCATGCCCATGACTGTCACCGTCTCTGTGTCGAACCCCACTTAGACATGGACTATGTGTCTATTCACAGACTTGGCAATGGCTTCCTTCTGATATCACTTTCCAGCTCCCGCTACTTTCAACATTTTGTTCTTGGTGACTCCGCGGTAAGGCGGAGTCCGAGAAACCGGATGGTTGGAACGCGCTGAAGGCTTCGTGTTTATTTTACAGTACCGACGGTGGTGCACTGTGACCAATCCCCAAGATGTCAAGAAGTATCCAGAACGGGTTCAGTTACTGGAAGAGTTGTAACCTCGGACATACCAACGTCCCATCTAGCCTAGTAGCTTGTGACAAGTCTCGCTTGAGTGGGAAGAAAACTCATTGAACTAGGAAGCTTCATCCATGCCACCAAAGTTTGGGGTGCCCTGGCCGCTGCACCCTGACCAGGCTTTAGTAGAAGAAGCAGAAGAAGAGGACCATTCTTGGGACCAGTATCCTCCAGAAATGCCGGGGTGAAGATCCAAAGAAAACCAGAACAAACAATTTCATATTCCAGTGTCCAGTAGAGCAGGCGGGGTTGAAATATATAGTAGAACTACATATCTACATTATGATCATCATGTGTAATTATATTATATGTATTGATTATCTACTGTGAAGGCAGATACAATGTACACAGGCACGCATGGTAGTTAGTTTCTTCAGCAAAAAAAACGACCATGAATTACTCATGGTGTTTTACACCTCAAAGGAGTAGCTAGATGTCTTTGTTGTCGTCAAGATGTCTTTCATATCTTGATGGTCTGGCTAGGACGAAGACGAGGCATCGGGGTCGGGTCGGTCGTGGAGTTGCTGCCCCCGAAGAACTTTGGTGTTACCGATGAAATATGAGACCCTCAGTACTTTCGATGCATTCAGATATCACTATTTTTTTACACATGGATAGTTGCCAGCTTTCTGCTTATCTTCTTGGAGTTATACTACATCATCTACATAAATCTGATTCAATCTATATTAATCTACAGGTAAAGTGCTGTACTGGTGCATGATCAGTGGGGAACCCGCCCCTCGCGGCTCGTTGAGAAACAAGCGTGAAGTTTCAGGGGAACATCAACATTCCCCTCAGACAACTTAGCAAGAATTTCTTTTCAATCTCACTTTTGATCAGTATTTGAGTCTCCGAATCTGAGGGCCAAGACGATGAGGGTGAGGAGCCGATGGCGGCCATATGTCAGAAGTCATCGGAACAGTCGGCAGCAAAGTGGGAACCCCCTGGGAGTTGGTGAAGAGTTGCCCTGCAGCCAACAGAACCAATCCACAGGAGGAAGAGTCCGTTGCGGCGGATCTGTTGGTAGGCACGGTGGATTTTTTTTTTCATTGTGCCGACAGGTTGCTATATTTTGCTGCGTTCCATAAATTCCCAAACTTGTTGGTGATTCTTACGCAACTTAGCCTCAAAACAGACCCATGATTGCCATGAACCATGTCGCAA